GACTTTGCAATCTTTTTCTGGCAATTTTTGAGACAGAAATCTGTTCAGGCAGTTTGGAAATAACAACAAAAAAAAAAAGTTGCGTTTTACAAACCTGAAAAACACACTTTTTGAATAATTTTTGAAGTTATGTGAAATTACAGATGCAGATAGGATGAAACGGGAAAAAACAAACAAGAAAACCGCAACATATGTCAGGATGTTTCTCGCTTTTGTTGATAGGATTTGAGAGAAAATGATTGATATACAGTAGACGCTATGCCTTCCTAAACGCTGCACCCTATTGAGTGATGCTCATGGCTTTGCAATCTTATTAAATATTTTTAATTACATTCTATTTTTTTTCTCCATTTTTTATCATTTTGACTTAGGATGACAGAGGAAGGGGAAACATACATAGATAACAGCCATTAAACAGCGATCTGTCATGCTGGAAACCATAGACTTGCACTGCCATCTAGTGTTTATGAAAGGAAGAGGCTTGAGGATGTGTTGGGTGGATTCTTATTTGATGAACAGGCGGTCAGAAAAGGGGGAAACAACTTCTTGCTGTCCAGTTTTGCAAATTCTAAACTGCATATAGGCATATAAATAATACAATATATATTAAATCTCTGCAAAAACAGATGCTAACAAGTGTCCCGATGACTTTATAATATCAGATGCACTTAGTGCAGAAAGGGAAATTCATCAACAGTGTGTTTTCATTTAGCAAGTTAAGTTTAGAGTAAATTATTTATTAGAAATGTCTTATAACAAATAAGCCTGTCTTGATATTCCAAAATTTTGCCATCGTATTAACTTTAAAATCTTTTGCCCCCTGATCTTAAAGTAAACCATAGCTGAGCAAAACATAATGACCTTTAAGCCACAGAAGAAACATTTTAGGAAATTACAGCCCTCATTGACAAGTCAAACTAAGATACAACTAAAAAAAAAATAAAAGATAAGAACATTTCATATTCCTGTCCATCCTTTATCCTTCCATCCCTCCGTCGCTTCATCCCTCTATTTCTCCTCAGGTGGAGCGAGTATCATACTGGTGTGTAATAGCGTGCTGTCAGTGTGGGCCGCGGTGAGGTGCGGGGAGGAGAGCCGGTGCGTCTCAGATGAGATATGTGACTGGCATGCTAACACACAGTTTTATCTGAGGAAAAAGAGAGAGACAAGGCCCCCACATCTCCTCACTATAGGCCTTTGATTAAAGCTCCCTGGGTACACACGCATGCACACACTTCCAAAAAAAACGCACATATAGGAGCGTACACACATGTACCCGCTCAGATTATAAATAAATTGCGGGTAGGAGCATACACACACTTACTGTATATGCACATACACACGTCCTCCCATCGTAGGTGATGTTGTTTTGACCTAAGCCAGGTAGCTTGTCCATTATGGAGTTGATAGGAGGATTTGGCCATGTTGATTCTAGACAACATCATCTCCTCGCCATAAATAACCTGAGTGTTTTCTCTGAGTCACACAACAATATACAGAGAATAAGAGCTCTCAGCTTTATCCCCCGGCCTCATCCACTGCGCGCAAACACTCACCCATACCACATAAACTCCCAAGAAAATGATTGTGTGTGGATGGACATAAACAAAATCACAGATTTAAAAGTACAGTTGGCCCCAGTGCAGCTCAGTTTCAGGGTAAATTACTGTTTTGCATTCTAGTTTGGCTTCACTATTTGTCTCCAAGCGTGTTCTCTTGGATGGACGACGGGGGGAGGCTGGTTTGATTTTAGATGAGCAGCATCATCCGACAGTGTGGTCTCAATAGCTTGCCAATAAAGCTTTGGATACAAACTACATATCCCTGACCAATGGAACTATGGGGGAGCATAATGACTTCCATGAAGGAAGTAATGGACAAAGCACACCGAGTATTACGGCATGTGGGTAAACCATTTTGAAATACATTTCCGTCAATTTATCATCATCTGTCTGTCTATATTGTGTTCCTTGCAGGATCAAATACGAAAAAATGTCAATTTAACTTTTTTTTTTATATTTATCAAAAAATGTGCTGAAATGATTTGCTGTGGCTCGAGCAACAAACAGATCGGAGAGGAATCTCTTTTTTCGATTGCATACTTGGCTTACTTTTTTTCCCCTATTCATCAAAACAAGAAACATGAAAACACACACAAACACAGAGACACACACACACACACACACACACACACATATACATAATTCAAGCAATCCACATTGACCGCTTCATTCATCACTTCTTCAAAATTGTTTAATCAATATAGAGATGAAGAAATGTACAAAGTATCAACACAAACCAAACTAAAAAAAACCCAATAATAATAAATGCATTTGATTCAAAGAACTCAGCAAAGCAGGCTGATCATTTACATGTATTTTATCCTCCATTTGACTATGTACAGCAAGTTCAATATTACACATGATCCCTATTCCTTTTTGCGGTTAGTATGACATCATCAAGAATTATTTATAAATGATATTATTGCCATGTTGATCTTTATCCCAAACTACTCATATTTAGCTGCTATACATGTTTATTAGAAATATGTACATCATTGTGTAAGTGATATATTTATGGCTCAGTATGACATACAACAGAAGAATTTTTGTTGTTTTTTTGTAATTCCATCCGTCAGTTTCTTTCAATGCACATTCTATATTGAGTCCATAAAAATCATTAAACAAACAAACAAACATTTCTGTGGTTCAAAAAACAAAATAATTGATCTTAGTGTATTTTAGAGGTTAATAAATCCCGCTGATTCATACTGTCTAAACAAAACACTGTTGTCATTTCTTATTTAATAGCTGGCTGGAACTTTTTCATTCAGTAGCTGTTTGAAATTAATTTTTTCCACTGTTGTTTTTTTTTTTTTTTTTTTTTTTTTTTAATTTTTTTTTTTTTTTTTTTTTTTTTTTTTAGAAATCTCCAAAATTCCAAAGACAGAACCATCAGGACTGAAGACATTTCTGCACATCTATGCCTCATCAAGTAAGTATTACTCTAATACTTAAATACAAAGCAATACAAGATATAATCAACAGTTCAAACCAACCCAAGATCAGAGGTTCAGAACCCTTTCATGTCAATAAGCCACATGTTTATGATGATGTGCCTTACTGACATGAACACCCAGAAACTAAAACCAAATCTTTAGTTTAGAGATTACAGAGATTACATGGCTTGTTTAGTTAAACCATCGTTTAGAGTTTGGTGCATTATTTCACTTCATTTTAAGCAACATATTAAAGTTTGAGGGATCTATTTTCCTGTAATATCACAGATCTTCTGACACAAACACAACTGGGCATGATGAGCAAACTTGGTTTACAATTATGGCAGCTGAATGCATCATTAGGATTAGTTTAGAACCTACAGAATTAGTCGGGCGAGCTCAGAAATGACCAAACTCATCCTGTCCCCTTTAAAAGCAGCAACAGGTGAAACAAAGTGAAAGAAACTCAGAAGGAGAAGCGAAGTGCCTGAAGTTCTAAAATAAAAAACAAACAAACAAAAAAAAAACACCATAACATCCCACATTTTAATATGCACCCGGCCATAATAATAGGCAGCGTAAGTTATAGAATGAACTGGCAGATAATTGGTGCTGCAGGAATAACAGTACAGCTGGTTATAGCTGTGCACTTAATTAAATAGACTCATTTATGTCTTAAAGCTACCATAAACAAAATAAACACAAAACAAGTTTCTTTGTGAAACATCGGACCTCATTTACCGAACAAAACAAAAACAGTCCTCATATCCTTTGGAGATAAGCTGCACCAGGTTGGCTACCACTGAATCTGTCTGGAGGTTTCAATAACAAACCGGCATCCACCCAGTGCCAAGTATACATTTAGGAGAGGTGTGTGTCATCCAGTTGATCCGAGCAGACGGAAATCCACAGAAAGCTTAGTGTGCTTTAATTTTGGTGCCATTTATTTGCCACCTTGTGCCACAAGCTTTTATCTTCACCGCCCAACATGCAGCTCTGACTCCGTATTTAATTATGGGTCGGGGTCAGGTCAGGGCTTCTATTAATGGGGCAGGTTCCACAATTGATTTAGAGACAATCACAGGTAACAGATCAGTGCATCTGAACCTCTCCAGGAGTCTGTTCCTTCCACGTTTTCAAGCCTCCGCAGCAGACTCCAGACCTCACACACGTAAACTTGTTTCCACCAACATGCTTTATTTGTTCTCTGTGTGTAGGAATGGAAGCCGCAAGAGCAAATATTTATAAATGCGGATTCGATCCCAAACTATAAAACTCAGTCTAATAATCCACTTGATGTGAAATAAGTTCTTACTAATGATTTCTATTGCTGGAGCTCAGGACTCATCCAGGGGACAGCGGCACTACTCCAGACGTCTAGTGTGATGCTTATAAACACAGAACATGCCCTTACATGACGGATCCTGCTGCCATGTCGGGAGATTTAAATAATTAATGAAGTTGCTGCTGTGCCATTCATGCAAATTACGCACCGTCACTCTTCTCATACCAGAGACTGTTGTGTGATCACCACAGGTAAACAGTGGTATGGGCAGTTTTTAACCCAAATTAAGTTTTTATTTATTTTTTCTTCAAATGTGCACCAGAATTGCATTGCGCCACCTTGTGCAAGCAAGTGTCAGCATACCCTGAGCTTTGGTTTTGTAGTGCTGGGAAAAAATAAACAATGGCACAGATGCAAAAAAAAAAAAAAAAGAACTTGCACCAGAGGAAAATTGCATAGAAACTGTGCTTACCTTAGTGCTTACTTGTGGGAAAATAGAGCCCCGCAAGAGCTCCACATAGCTGCTGCTTTCATTCTGTCTAAGCTATTGTTGCAGCCACACCAGGAGTCACAGTAGAGAGAAGAAGGGTGAAGTCTAACCACAGACACTGAACAGAGATTGCTGTCATAATTTTTTATACCACGACTGGGATAATGAACAGGAGGGGGGGGGGAGCTGATCCCGTGTCAGATTCTTTGACAGAGTGCAGGAAGGAGTCAGGGGTCTGTCTGCGTGGACGGCGAGGGGCTGGTTGGAGGACAAAGAGGCTGAGGAAAGTGTTTGTAAATTTCCGGGGCAGGACCCTGCGGAGGCGACGGGATGGGAGTGTCTGGAGAGGCTGCAGAAGGAAAACAGTGGCAGAGAGGAATTTTTAGCTTCCTATGTGTTTATTTGCAAATGAACCTGCTTTTATTTGGGGAGGGAAAAAAGTAAATGACATTGTGCGGCCATTAGGTGGTGTACTATAGCCAAATGCATTTTTTATTGACAAATGAAAGCAGATGATATGACCAATGTCCATCAATTCCTGCAAATTATAGAATTACAAGTTGCATTTAATGTGGTTTTACAATCAGGATTTTTGGTTTATTAGCTCAGTTAATGGAAGTGCACCTGGAACAAACTTTTTCATTGGAACAGATAAATTGTCCGTCAACTTTGATGCATGTGCTACTTGTTGTAGTGAATGTTTGATTGCATGCATGTTGAATTGAAACCTTACCTATTTGTGGAGTGTGAGTGACGGGCATGGTGCTGATGACCAGTGTGTGTCCAGTCACTGGGTCCTGGGCCAGCTGGGTGTGGGCTGCATGGTGTAGGTGTGTGGGCTCTGATGTCAGGCCTGAACACAAAACACAGTGGCTCAGAAATAAACCGCAGCAGACGGATGCTAATGGATGGAAATTAGCCTTGCGCTGAATCCGGCATATTTACTGCAACCTTTATTTGTGATTTTTTGCAATTTTGGAGGATGATAGTTGTTTTGCATTTGTTTTCTCTGCTGTCGTGTGCTGTCCATTTCAGTGTGGAGTCTGGATGTGATTAACTGTGTTTTCTGTAGTTTTGTGTTTCTTACCTGCAATTTTCCCTCAGGAGATAAAAAAGTTAAAGTTGAAAGTTGACCTTGTGTAAACTATTGAGATTGTATGTTCATTAATATGAACTGTCCCGTCCAGAGAAAGACAGAAAGTGTTCGAGTGGTAACCAGCTGACAGAAAGATGCTTTAATAAACCAAGTAAAGTGAGGGTTTTTTTGCTGATTTCAGTTTGGGAGTTTGCATGTTCTCCCCGTGCAGCGTGGGTTCTCTCTGGGTTCTCCGGCTTCCTCCCACAAGGTCCAAAAACATGTTGAGGTTAATTGGTGATTCTAAATTGTCCGTAGGTGTGAATGTGAGTGTGCTTGGTTGTCTGTCTCTAAGTGTGGCCCTGCGATGGACTGGCCCCTGCCTTCGCCCTAAGTCAGCTGGGATAGGCTCCAGCCCCCCGTGACCCTAGTGAGGATTAAGCGGTGTATAGATAATGGATGGATGGATGGATTTCAGTTTGTGCTTTAAAGTGTACTGGCATATGTACGTGTTTTAGATCATTTAGTGGTTGTGTTAGATCAATGTGGCTTCATTTAAAATAGCACAGGAAACCCGTGTATTCCACTAACCTACCTGGTGACCTGTCACTTAGTCTAAAAGTCTTTACACCTCACATTCAAAAAATACACAAATAACTTTTTTTTTTGCACACATATATAAGGCATTCAATTTAATTTTGCTAACTTGTTGTTTGTTTAAGAGGTTGACCAGTTGTCGGTTTGGCTAATTATTGGATCTGATGTTCAACATCCATCCATCCATCATCTATACACCGCTTAATCCTCACTAGGGCCGCGGGGGGCTGTAGTCTATCCCAGCCGACTTAGGGCGAAGACAGGGGACACCCTGGACAGGTCGGACTACACTTAGAGACAGACAACCAAGCACACTCACATTCACACCTACGGACAATTTAGAATCACCAATTAACCTCAACATGTTTTTGGACTGTGTGGGAGGAAGCCGGAGAACCCGGAGAGAACCCACGCTGCACGGGGAGAACATGCAAACTCCACCCAGAAAGATCCCGGTGCCCCCACTGGGACGGGAACCGGCGTCCTTCTTGCTGCGAGGCAACAGTGTTACCAACTGTGCCACCTTGCAGCCCGCAAAAGTATATCAGTTTCGAATATCAGTTATTGGTCTATTTGATTACTAATAATCAATAATAATCACAAAAAAAAAGTTTGACCCGTAGTTTGGTTTCAAACTGCATCTCTATACTTTATAAGTTGCTCATTCACATTACTATATATATCATCTCGACTACATTTGAATAGTGGGGGGTTTTGTTTGTGTTGTTGTTGTTTTGTATGTGTATTAGTTCCACATTCTGACAAGACGTTGGAAAGTAAAACAAATGCAGCTCTTTCTGTACACTGTCTTCTAAGTCAAGTTGTCATATTCTGGAGGAGGTTTTTTTTTTTCTTTTTTTTTTTGTTTTTTTAGCATGTATGGTGAAACTGGAAGACATTTTTGGAGATGACTTTTTACTTTATTTCCATATCTCATCTTATGCTTGAGTTGTCTGTCACGGCCCTCCCGTGGAATGTATTTGATGCATTTTTACTTTAACTTCAGGCTTCCTTATTTATACACATTTAGATGTTTGCAGATGTCCCGAGCAGCATCTCACAGCCACTTCAGTCTATTTTGGCTCTTCCTAATATATACTGTATGTGAATTATGCAAAGTTGGACCACCTTTCTATAACATCCTCAACTTTTTACCCATTGTAAATATCCTAGAAAACTTTGCAGAGCATGTATACTTTTAGTTTTCTACATTGCTTTAAAATTCTACAGTTCCCCACATTCACGGCTGAGGAGCTCCACTGGAGCATTTGGTGGTGTTTGCTGAAGGTCAGCCTATTTGTCTTTCTGCAGATTTACAAGCACAGACGTCGGCCAGCCTCACCTCCCAGTAGCATCTCGTGCAGCAGGTTGTCTATCTTGGCCAGGCCGCAGAGCTTAATGAACTGGAGCTGTTCGATCATCTGCCAGGTGATGCTCTGCAGGGTGGGCAGCAGGAGTAACAGTTCTCCAAAACGACCCCTGGAGTCATACTGACGGTCATTAATGTAGTCCTCCAGACTCATCTGAACCTGCACACACACATACACAACACCTCTAGTTTTTAACAATGAAAGCAAACTACTCATTTGTCCTTGCTGACTGATATATTGATAACAAATGTGTAAAAATGTGAAGTGAAATACATAGTGAGGCTAAAAATGAGGTGAGTTTGCTTCTGGAAATCAAGAAATATAGATGTTCATTTGTAACATTGTTGTAAAGTCTAAAAAAAACATTCTAGAAATTGCTTCAACTCCACAATAAGCTATAAGGGTCAAATAGTTGACCTACCTGCAGTCGCATAGCCTTAATCTTCGAAGGGTCCCGCAAAGACTTTGCATCTGCAGATTGGAAGGCAAAGCATGGAAGAGGGGGATGCATTAAGGTAGGGAGGGATGGAGGACAGGATTGAAGGACAGGATAGGATAAAAAAAAAAAACTGAAAGATCAGGGATGGAATTGAGGATATGAGTGAAATTGATGGAACGATTATGGTCAAACTGGGGCATGAAGGCAAAATGAGGGGATTTAGTAAAGGGGGGAGAGAAAAAGGGGGGGGCCAGGTAACGTAAGATGGGGGCAGGGATTGTGGTGACACTAGACCGAGGAGGCATAAAGAAGGGATGGAGGGATTGGGGTCTAACTAAAGGAGGAAATGTAGCCAGGACACATTGGAAAAAGAGGGATCTGGGCAGAAATGTCGATAAAAAGTCCAAATTTTGATTGCTATTTTTAATGTTTTGTAATTCAAAATGTCAGGGTTTCCCATTTCCATCCTTTTTAAATCTTCATCTGCTTAGTTTCTGGGGGATTTTGTTTTTCTTCTAATATGAAACAAGACTTTAAACATGGCATTTATTTAGCTTTTAGTATGTCACAGTTAATTTGCTGTATAATATTAAAAGAAATAAGTAATTTGTGGTCCTTTACAAAATATGGCCCCAATTCTGTGCATCATGATGTGTCATAAAGTTCTGTGCCACAATTCTTGCCAGTATCAATTCCTAGAAATTCTATTGCTGACCTTTACCAAGCGATCGTAGTTCCCTCACATCTATTTAAAACTAGAACCATCCTCGCACTAGTTCTCCAAAAATCCCTATTACCCAAGCTTTTTGACTTGCCGTAACAAACAGACGGAGATTTAATTACATGTAATTGCAGGTTACAGTTTTAGAATGGACAAGCAAGGGTGCATGTAAAAATCAGGGCAACCACTCACCCCCAGTAATGGCTACAAGCATATGTGATTAAACGTATCTCACAAATGACTTGATGGCTACTGGGGTTAATGCACTAAATGTTACTTTTAATTCATTACCTGGGTCAAAGAAGACAATGGCCTTGAGGGCTGCATACTCGTTCTCATCTATTTGAATATCCTGGAAGGGCTGGACCAGCTCATCCAACACTCTGTTGGCTACCCGACATATCTCCGGTTCTGGACTGTTCCTGTGGATCACGCAGCCATTACCTGCAGAAACAGGGATTATAGTTAGTTGAGGAGAGGTGGCGGGAACTGAAAGGTATGTGGGTGTGTATGAGGTGGGGCAATGGTGTGTGCTTGTGGGGAAGGGTGAGTGGGATTGTTGTAACCTTGAGAGAAACATGCATTTAATCTTGTAGACTTTTATGTGTCTTATTTAAGGGTTTCAGCAAACAGGTGTGGGGAAGGTGTTAACACAAAAGACCTGCTTGAGTGTTTGTAGTCGACAAATCAGTGTACAGTATAATGTTGGTGCATGTCGCAGTAATGAATAATGTCGTATACAAGAGACACTTTTGAAGTCAAAAAGAAACAGAAAGACTTAGTTAATCATTCACAGTACTTCAGTGCTGAACCACCCGGTTAGACCACACATGCACAAGATGTCATTCTAGGGGTGAGTTTCTACCTAAAAGCAGGAAGTCCTTGAATTGCATTGACCTTTTGGCAACCCCGAGCAAGAGGTGTTCACCTGCATGAGCCCTGAGCAAGCTCACCTGGGGACAAACACAAACAGTTAAATAAAGAACACCAACAATGCCTCACCTTTTTGCAGTTACGTACATCAGACAAATGTCATGCTGGCACTAACCACAACCAAAACAGAAAGACAAAGCTCCAGAGCTACAGTCTGAGTTTGTTACCTGGTCATCCAGTGGCAGTTCTCCGAAAGCAGGAATATATTTGGCCCATTCCACCAATACCAATAGCTGCTGTCTCATAGAATCACATACATCCCCCACAGTGGCCGACTTCTGCTCGGATATGTCTGCTATTCCTACTGGAGTAGTGATCTGCAGGAAGAGAGGACAAAAATCTGCTCATTTCAATGGGCAACTGCGATTTAGTCACACTCATGATGTGATGAGTGATCAGTTCACAAACAAAGTGTTGAAGCAGGAAATGTACAAAAGGATTATCACCTGTTGGGACAAGGATTCTGCTTGGGCCAAAATAGTAATAGGCGGCAGGTCTTGGGAGTCAGGGATACTTCTTCGGGAGCTGATTCGATCCCTCTCGTTCTGTACGGCTATGACACGACAGTTAAAGTTACTGTGTTAGCGTATGCCTGCATAAATCAAATAAAATGGGAAAGAAACCGAAACTCCTCTACTTTCCTTACTGTAAAAATCAGCTCACTTTCAAGCAGGACTGTGAGCCGTAAACTCGTTCCTGGTTTATGCATTTTCAAGAATTCATTAAAGCTGGTATTTATCACTGTTAAGAGTTGGTGGGGAGTCTTGATTGCAAATGTTGACAGGAGACACTAAGGCAGTTCATATTTCGGAAAATAGCCATACAGGCTGGCAGCAGCAAGAGGAGTAAAACGTTAACCAGTTGCAATCCAGAACAACATGTTTGAATAACACATGATTAGGTGTCATAAAACTCTGTGCCAAGGTTATACCCCTCATAAATACACACACACACACACACACACACACACACACACACACACACACACACTGAGCAATCTGTTTTATGGCTGAGCCAATTCAACCATCTTGAAGCAGCTTCTCAGATTCTCTGACGACAGTCTGTCTTTCAGTGCTGCTGGTTTAAGCCTCTGCTTTGTGGCAAAAATGAAAATAAACTACATTGATTGCTCATTGAATGTGATGTAGCTCCTCTGTACAAAATTAACAAGATATTTGAAAAGTTGATCTTTCCTGTGCTTGTATCTTTGCATCTAAATTTTAGTGCAGTTTTAATATTGAAGCAAATATATTTTTGCTGATTAGGTGTAACAATGTAGTCTTATCCAAGGGAGGTTTCCCTACCTTCTTTTTTCATGCCAGCTCTGAAGCATTTGTTGAGTCTGCAGAAACGACACTGGTTCCTCTTATCTTTATCCACAATGCACTGTCTGCTGAACCTTTACGTGACGAACACACAATGATATAGGTAACTTTACAATGCAAGACATGATGACTCAATGTACTGTAACACAAAGTAATAATATGTACCACAGCATAATGACTGGACTGAAAAGAAAGCTATCAAGATATCTGCACTTTACAATAGGGGTGCACATAAAAGCATCTTTATGCGCACACTTATGAATGTACATTATGTCCTGTAGTTACCAAACAAACACATAACATTCCTTGCACATGGTAAATGTCAACTATAGTATACGTACAGTACCTGTCTTCAGTGAGCATTCTACATAAAGGTGTATATGTCTACTGTTGCTTGTTTGTTTGCTGTGTTTATGTATGAATGTGTGCTCACACAGTATATCCTTGATTTGTATACCTGCAGGTATAGACGTGGCTCTTGCGTATAGAGCGCCTGAAGAAGCCTTTGCAGCCATCACAGCTGGAGGCTCCATAGTGTTTCCCTGTAGCTTTGTCTCCACAGATCGCACAGTTACTGCTGACCCCATCTGGACCAGGCAGGCTCGGTTCTGTCGGCATGCTGTCTGAAAAACACAAAAGCACGTGAAGGTAAGCACACATATAAGTGCACAGAGACGTGCATCTTTATGTTATGCACCTAAATACCCAAGAAACGGTATGCATATGTAGTTCAGTACACAAAATAGTTAGGCCTTAGCTTATGTATGAATTTATGTGATCCATTGCGCTATGGCATCTAACTGAAGACACTATGTAGAATTTCTATGCAATAACAGCATCTCTGAAATTATTGGGTCTTAATTCCTCTGACTGTCCATGTCAGATCTATGGCATGTCACATAATGCATTGCTGCCTGCTGTAATGTCTTTTCCCATAGCACCTCTGGGACAATAGCAAAGTCAGAAACAGGGTCTACGTGATGTAATTTTCGTCATCGCCCAAAGTCAGTGAGAGCCCACCACAAGGGCAGTAGTGTGCATGATCAGCAGTAGTGTGGATGCATGGGATACATAATCTACTGTGCATGAATGGAATAGAGTTCTCTCAACAGACGTCAAGTGAACTAGAAAGTAGTATAAGGCTAGTTTTAAACCTTGAGGACGAGCGCACAGATAGGTATTAAATTTTGGCTGATCACGTCTCTGGAAGGGGTCCATGCAGACTCTAGTGTTCTAGAGTAGATGCTGACATTTATGTCACGACCGAGAAGATCCTGGTTTACATCTTGCAGATGTAGGAAGTACAAGCATGAGCCTTGATTATACTCTTGTGTGGACACTGACAGCTGTGAAGACCCACAAATACACAGTTGTTGTTAGTATACTACTTCCCTACCCTGCAAAAGTTCATTTTAAAGACTCTGTTTCATACATGATACTGGATCGGGGATGTAAACAGCTGCTACAGATCTGCAAACATCTCGTCCATGAAGTCACAGCAGAACATTACATATCTAAGAATGCCAACAGTACTTCTGAGTATGTACAGTATTGCTGTTGTTGTTGTATGGATTGTCTGTGCGGACACGAATTTTAGGTTTCACGCAAAGTCAAGGAGACGTGTAGAAGATAAAATTATGTTTGCAAGCAGGGAGAGTGTAACACAAGTAGACAAAGTAGAATGCTGGTGTGATATCTTACACATATTACAGGTGTGTATGGATAGAATACGGTGGTTTGACTGACTGTGCATGTATGCAGTTTCCAACCATGCAACACCCATGCACCCATGGACGTCCACCAGTGTTCATGTGCGACCCTAAGCGAAGGCTTAAGGCCCCTCTACAGACATCTGTGTGCAGCCCAAAATTTTTGTCTGCCCTGATTACACCGCAAGGCTAGTAGTGTGCGTATATGAAGAGAAGAGAAGAGAAGAGAAGAGAAGAGAAGAATGGAGTTCTGTAAGCGAAAATAGTATTATAGCCCTTTTTCCCCCCCTTAAATATTGTAGGTTGGTTTAACCACATCATTAAACTACTCCCTATTTAATTTCAGTGCTTTCAATAAACAAATAATCTGCACAAAAAAAAACAAAAAAACTCAGGAGTACCAAAAATGACAAAAGGCGTGGAGCAATTGCAGGAGAAAAAAACAGGCAGATGTTGCCAAGTGCGCATATTACACAGATGTGTTTGCTGCAGGACCTTCTTCAACACCTGTGGCCGAGGGTGGTGGTGGTGGTGGTGGCAGTCACATTGACAAAGGTGAGCAGAGGGAGTGTAGAACTTCCAGTAAGCAGAGCCTAATAACAGGCGAGCTGCCAGGCACAATAATATGTCATAGAGATAATGGTGATTTGCACAACACCATCTTGCTCTGGAGTTTAAGTATCCATTCAAATCTTGATAAAACTGAGCAAAAAAAGTGATAGCAGTGAATAAATTAGCTACTGTTTGCAAAGTTTTGTTGATCACATTACAGTAAAAGTCAGTAAACAGCAGCGCTCTTTTGGGAAATGGAAAAAAACAACCTGTGGCTGTACAGGTTACGTAATGTTACTCTGATTTGGAAAACAGCAATCACCTCATTAATCATTTATCATCTACTTGTCGCAGTAAAACATACATTTTTGCAACGTCACCTTTTGAAGGTATTTTTACGAGGCTACCATTTGCATAAGGCTCCTCAATTCTCTGTCATTACATGGCTGTAATGTTTTGGGTTTTTTTGCGTTTAGGGAGGTTGGTTTACATGTTAAGAGGACAGTGTTATGTGGTGCATGATCAATTGTGTTTTTGTTATGGCAGTTTTTTTTTTTGGTCCCAGCCCATAGTGAAGTTGCACAGGTTTGCTGGGGCTTTAATAACTGCAAAGATATTTGCGTGTGTTTCATTTGTTAGTATATGCATTTGCAAATCAGGGAAAAGAATCGCATGACAGTTCAATTACCAGGCATATTAGGCATTATCGTCAATGTCTTTAGTTTTACTCTCCTCTAATCATTGTCATCATCACGACAATCACTATCATTACCACCTGCAGCAGCACTGTCCCCATAATTTACACTGTAATCGTTGCCATTTCTGCATATTTATTGTTCTGTTGAAGCCTACGAAAAACAAAACGTAGTATCATAATGGAAAAAGCTCAAGATGTTCCAGCACAGATACATCCACACCCTTAGTCCCACACCAGGCAGCCAGTGTGAGAACAATTAATGTTTGACTAACTTGGGTATCACTAAGATGCGTGCGTGCTTACTCCTCAATAAATACCTTTATGACACATACCTGCAGTTCCCTTTTTAGCATTCTGATTTCATCCCTCTTTCCTTCATAACCACAGATTTCCTCCTGCACACTACCTCCGTATCCAAGCAGCAGGCAAATGAAATATCTACCCCACACTTGTTGCAAACTGGATGCATTTACTTTTAGCTAATATTAAAATTACATGAAGTTCCACATCACTCAATTTAGGCACATGGACTATGCAAAAAAAAAAAAAAACCCACAAGGTTTTCCCCGTTCCTTAAACAGCAACTCATTTGCCTTCAGCTGCTCTCACGTCACATTATCAAAAAATATCCAGCCTTACAAACCACTACCCTTCCTCATCCTGTTCTGAGGCCGATGACCCATGCCAAATCCTCCTTCTCATAAGATACATCACGTTAATGAAGAAGCTGTAGATTTGTAAATACACAATGCCACACTCTTCTCTTTTCTTTGTGCACACCAGCTTCTTTGTTGTGGTAAATGTGTGAGTGAGCTGTATTGGTGCTTGACAAGAAGTGTGTGTGTTTAAGTCTGTTTTATCTGCACAGTGTCCTAATGTGTGTGTGCTGAAAAACACATAAGTTGTTTGTGTCTGTATGTTTGTTTTTGTGGATTCCTCTCTATCTCTGTATGTAGGTGTCAGAATCGAAACACACTTACCTCCTCCTCCATAGAGCACCTCTGCATTCTCAAAGCCCAGTGTGCTGTATGAGGGATCCAGGCCTTCACAGTAGTTGGCTACTTCCATATCTAACAGAGATTTACTCTGAGCAGCAGAAGGATATTTCATTCCTGTTGCAACCTGGTTAACCTTCTACCTCTTCTCTTCTCTTCTCTTCTCTTCTCTTCTCTTCTCTTCTCTTCTCTTCTCTTCTCTTCTCTTCTCTTCTCTTTTTGTTTTTTTTCTATCCTCCTGTCCCTGTTCATCTAATTCTTACAGACATGACAAGGGAGATCCCTTGGCATAAAAGATCTATAATCCCATCCGATTGGGTCTTGAACAAGGAGAGGGGAGGAGCTGGGGCTAAGACTTCTCACCTTATTACACCTCACTTATCTACCCTCACACTTATCACAGCGATGAATAGATAGTGGTGAAGGAGATATTTCTCTTCTCTGTCTCTTTTATGTACTTCTTTTTCCCCACATGAGACAGATTTCATCACATTTCGAACGGACAGCTCGTACACACTGCAAAATGTGTACCTGCATGCACAATGGGCTGTTTGTTTGTATAGACACATGCCATTCATGATTGTGTATGTGACTTGCCCATGTGTGTGTCTGTGTGTCCTTCCCAGGTTTCCTAATCTAATCAATAGCAGAGTAAAAGCACCACCACCCCAGCAGATATAATCTATAAAAGACACAAAGTGAAGTAGAAAACACTGATAACTTCCATTAACTCTTCCACAAACACACTCCTCGGGTTTATATTCAACTCCTCTGTTTTTAGGTCTACACACTTCTACATAAACTGACCATAAACATCTCAGATAACATCCTCAGTGATCACACTCAAGTTGATGCTGTGCTCTCATTATCTTTTTGGTTATTTAATCAAATATTTAATTCACCCAGAGCATCATTTTTAAACTTAAAATAATTTTAGAATCAGAATTTTTTGCAATTTTTGCAACTTTATGCCAGTAAATATCAACATTTGCATTGCTCTTCAGTGAAAGTCTTCACCTGGGCTGATACTCTTACACCATCTATTTTTTTCTCCTTCCTTTTAAAACTCTGTCACACTTCTTTAAACCTCTATTACTATAAAAATAGACCAAGTTTCACAAGAAGTGTATGGTCTGTGGAAGAGAAGCAGGGGAGTGAAAACCAAAAATGAAAGTTAAAACCCTGAGCGCCCCGTCTTCCTCTTCAGGGGCAGGCACGTTATAAACAAGCTCTAAATTACCACCATGGTGTAAACCAGTTAAAATGTTCCTTCCTACCTTTTTTTTTTCTTTTTTTACACCAGGGGTTTCATTGCACTAAATCTTATTGTGTGGTTAATCAGTTTGGGCTATTGTGTTAGAGAGGGCTGTAAATGATAAGACGCCATATTATGGGAGACTCGATGCCCTACATCAGTAATGAGCGGGCCGATCAGAAAAGCACACACTATACGAGCAACCGTGGGGATAATATATTGTCACTTTAGGCACAGTACATCAGAATGCACATTACCGCAGATTACTGACTGGGCTCCAAGAGAAAAAGCCATTAGTATTTGGTCACAGGGTAATAACAGATATAATATTGGAGGCTGGAATAAAGAGGTTAAGAGGCAAGAGTGAGGGGTGGGAAGAGAGAGAGAAGTGATAGAGAGATTACATTTTAACCAGGCAGTAAGGTTAGGCCTCCTGACTCATCAAGTTTTGTGGAGAGTGGGGAAGAATTTACTCTTTACAATCACGTTCCCAATCACCGCTGAAGCTGTAACTACAGCGGCATTAAAGTGGATTTAGGAAGCATAAAGTATGCTTTTAAGTACGAAGACATACGGCGGAAAGCGTGGATGTGCACGGCGGTTTTTGTGAGAGGCTATAAGAGGTGATCAAGTCGGTTTAATACACCAGAAGAATTCAAGACTCACTGGGCTTTTAAGCTTGTAGACATACACAATAATAGAAAGAAAGAAAAAAAAATCAATATTCACTGAAAGGTAAACATCTTTAGTCTATAGCTATTGCTAAACAAGAAAAAAAAAAAAAGCTATAAAAAAAAATCTCTTCTTAGCCTCACCTTCTCTCTGAAGTGCAAGAACAACAAGCATAGTGATTCAAGTCTATTGCTGTAAGAGTCCATTTGATCTTTTTCTTTACACATCTGGGATACGTGAGAAACCATAAGCACCTCCTGATTTGGATGGATGACGATGTATTATTCAGAAACTGTGAATCTGATCAGCTGTACATGTTATTTTAGATCGTCAGTTTAAGAGTATTGTGGGGACATTTACGATTATTTTAGAGTGAAAATAGCAACAAGCTGGAAATGCTAACAAGGTCGTGGGCATGCTCAGGTTGTTGATTTTGTTTATCTCACAACAAATATGTAGAAAACATGTTCAGAAAACGTAATGTCAAAGCTGATTCACCTATTTTACAGGTGAATATAGAAGTTTTGTTTAAAGAGAGCATGATTTACACAGTTAGAACAACAAAAGGGTACTATGACTTCTTCCAGGACATAACCGAGAAACCTTGCATCTGCCTAGCAACCAAAAGCTCTCCGCGACCATAAAACCCAGCGCTAAGAGGCTATCTCTGTGTGAACTGGCCATAATACTGTCGCCTCTATTTAGACTGGAGGTTTTAATAGTCACAGATGATGATTAGCCACCTAACTCACTTTAGTAAAACCCTACTTCCTGATACTCAGGCAACAGTTAAAAAAAAAAAAAAGTACTCAGTTCAGTAGATCTGCATGCATTCACCTCTAAAACTCTACATCATTTACTGTGAATTTGCTTTTATTTGTTGCCTCATTTTTCCATTCTGAAACCGCTGCTGTCATGTTTTTTGCGGAAGGAAAGAGAAATGTGAATTTAAAAAAATATAGTTTCAATAGTCAACTGCACTTCCTTAAATTTTAGAGGTATAAGCAGGCTCAGGAAAATGCACAACAAATGCCATGTGTTGTTAGACTGCACAGTTACCACAATTACTTTCACAATTTAAGGAAGTTCAATACAACATCATATACATACTGAAAAGAACTGTCAACTCTCTGAACATCTTAACAAAACTTCACCATTGCAATCTTCACAAAATGACTTCAGCTCTGTGGTTTGTGCCTTATTGTGTGTACATGTATATTTAATGTTCTAACCATGCCAGAAGTGACGTAAACATGATAAAAACTGACTTTTTTTTTCGCAGGTAAAAAGAAAAAGTCCTTGAGTTTACTGACTGGGTTTATGTTCAGTTCCAAAATCGTGGTGTGTATCAGAGAAGTAAAACACATTGTGAATGAATTACCATCTTCCTCTTAAGCAGACTGTTGCTTTTGTTACAGATTGTGTCCTTGTGCGGGTGAAATGGGTTATCACATGATCTTTACAGCGCAGCATGCGTGACAAAGTGAGTCTTTCTTATCTGTTTTCGCAAAATGCCGTTCGCGGACAGAGAGGTGAGCTCTGGCTGCGAGACGTACTGTATAGCGGCGGTGTTTGTGTCAACGAGGAGTTCCACCATTGCCACAAAAATACAAAACCACGTGATTTAGGAGAACATGTTGGCGAACTTCCTTGAAAAACTGCTAAAGGTGGCTTCACTTCCTCGATAAAAGTAGCGACACATCTCAATATGCTCACTCTTTTTTTAATCCCGATATGTATACTCTGCATTTTAGTGATCTTATAAGGTAAAGCTCGACTTACCTGTGCTTCTGTTTCTGCCTGGGATGTGCATTTATCCAGGTGTACCGTTGTTCCCCGACAGCGAGCAGCCCTCAGTATGCCGTTAGTCTAACTGACACCAAGCTTGGGAAAATGGTTAAGGTGTCCGACAACATTAAAAGGTAAGGCTGGAGAGCTGAGCGGCCTATAATTCATGAAGCGACACATTGGATGGCGCCACCATAGCCCTGTCATTAGATCGATTTACTAAACAAACTCAAACTAGGGTGGGGATGTTAAACAGTAACCCAGCGCCATAAAAACTAAAAGGAAAAGATCACCAGGTGTGTGTGTGTGTGTGTGGTTGTGTGTCTGTGTCAGGCAGGACCTCTAACGTCACCTCCGAGGGCAGAACGTAGCAGATACAAGAGGTCTGAGGTAATGTTTCACAAAATAATGGGGGAGCGGTAATGATTTCAGATATTTATTTCTCTTCTTAGCTATGAAGCCAAACACTTGAGCTATGCACACAGGGGTTAAGTGTTAGCAAATACAGTGAAATGTATTTAGTTGTCATTTCCACTCCCTTCAGTTGAAGGCAGGTGATTAAAAATAAATCCATAATCTTGGAGTACATTTCACAAATTCCAAGTTTGAACCCTTTGTAGTATAAGCACAGACCAGCAGGTGGCAGGAGTTCATTCATTTTGAGTCCAAAGCAGATGGCGGTGTACAGTCCAGCGAAGTGTCTCCAGTAATTTGATTCATCTGCTGTTTGACTTTGGCTGTCACATGTCACATAATTTCTCTCCTCGTGTTTTTTTTTTTTAACCCTCTATGGACAACTTAATTATCAAAGAAGACAAAAAATATATAAAATAATAACATTATTAGTATCTAAAACATAGAAGCCCAGTTTAAAGAGTTGCATCATTTAGAAACATTTTGAAAACCTACATGGCACAGCAGCAATAGAGGCAATCAAGCAGAACGGAGGATCTGTCAAATAACCAAAACAATAAGCTATACAAACTAAAGAAAACTGACAACAGCTCAAAAAGGCCCTTAAATAGGCACTAAGAAAGATTATTTTGTTTAAGTTTTGCTCCCAAGGTTCATTGTTCAAAAAAACTCTCAAAGAAATAGTGATATATTTTCAAAAATTAGAAGTATTCTAATAGTACTAAATGTATGTCTTAAGGATTTTTGCTCACCTTTTCCATTTGTGTGTTTTAATTCATTCTAATCTTTGTAAATGTTTGTTTGTATGCTATTTTTGGACAGTTGTTCCGATATCAAGTTGTCAGCGGTTGTGGAGCAGTAACAAAAATAAAGATGGGCAAAGTGAATCACGCCCCCCAAAAAATGTAAATGGGGTCTCTTGAAAGCCCCCTCTATACACACACACACACACACACACACACACACACACCCACGCATGCATTCATCATACCTACAGTTTTCATATAGCCCTTCCTAACAAGCATACGTTGCAAGTTCTCCTCCCCAAGAAGGTGAGCATGTCCAAACAGTTGAAAGTGGTAAAACTCAGAAACACCTCATTAACATTCTGCAAATGAATGTGCTCCAAATAGTACAGCCGGAAAAGGTGGTAGGGAATGAAGCACGCCACCATGACTAGGGCGAAGCACAGGCTCTTCAGCTGAGCCCCGAAGTCCTGCTGAGAGGTGCATCCCTGGCGATGCTTCTTGTATAAAACCCACAGGACGTTGGCTTGCAGGGCTGTCAACACGACCGCCACCACTATGATCAATGTGCTTATGATGTAGTTGGCCGCCTTAGCAGACTCTATGTTGTCCCCAAACCTGAAGCAACGTTTGGTGTCATCAGTTTTGTTGTCATCAGTTTTGTTGCCATTATTATTTTTTTTGCCATAGGAAAAATGGATGATACAGGGGACCATGACCAGCACAGCGATCCACACCAAAGCGCTTAAAATGAATGCGTGAATTCTCTGGAAGTAAGCCAACCGGTCAGCTTTGTGGTAGAAAGTCAACAGCCGGGTGATGAGAATGATCACATAGAAAACAAAAGACATGTACATGTGGATGTGGATCATGCCGCTGACCATTTTGCACCACCCATGGCTCAGGCTCCACTGGCTAGTTGCGTAGTAGTACATTCGGAAGGGCACCGTGAGGAGGAAGATGAAGTGGGCAAAGATGAGGTTGAGTACAGCGATGGAGGTGGTGGAAGTTGCGCTGGATTTCATGACGTGCACCATCAGGCTCAGGCTAATGGTGCCGCAGAGCAGAACCACAGAGTAGATGACTAGGAGCACTGTGTGGTAGTCATCCTGGTCTTTCGGATCACTCGGGGACATGGAGGTTTGGGGTACGGAGGTCATGGACAACGTGGAATTTATGGCCGTGGATAGTGTGCTCTGGGCAACTGTAGAAGTCATCTTAAAGAGAACAAAGGAAGGGAAGAGGTGAGAGGGAGACACATCATAAATAAAAGAGAGACATGAAGAATCAGTGAAAAAGAAAAAAGGTGTAAAAGAGAAAAAGGGTAGAGACAAAACACAAGTCAGGAAAACTCAGCTCTGCACTGCACATTATATCCACCTTCTTTACTGCTGCTATATCTTGGCTACGTTTGACCACAAAATACCAGTCACTAACCACAATATAATTATAGTCTGCCTTCTTGTATATCTTCAAGTAGCTTACCTACGGTTAGTTTAACAGGAAACAAGACTACAACACACCAAGTACCTCAATTTGAAGAAACTAAAATGAAAAATTACAGCTTTTTCAAGGGTTGAGAAGTACAGATGACTGTTGTTGACCATGTAATTATTACCAAAAGAACAATGCTACAGTGGAAATTGCCGCACTGCAACGTTTAACAACTGACTTACCTTTGGTCAAGGAAGAAGTGGCTGCCGAGTGCGCGTACACATCAAAATAAGGCATTGAAGGAAGTGTCTGCCCTCTACATTAGTAGTTCAGTGTTGGCGATCGCGGGAAAAGTTCTGCATCTGAGACAAAAAAAAAAAAAGAAGAAAAATGTAGCTGTCTCTGTTTCTGCTTGCGTGACTGGGTGTGTTCAAAGTTGAATGTGTAATAATTAGGGGAAGCGAAGGTTATGAAAATGAAATGTTTGTCTGTGTGTGTTGTGAGAAGCTAACGTCCTCTTTTGCATACTGGCTGCTTGTGTTCTGTCAGAAACAGGAGGTGACTGCAAGCCCATGTCAGTTCAACCACAAAGCTGGTTGCTTCCTCCTTCTGGTCACCCCTATATAACTCCGATTACTTTGCATCTGCACTTAATGGTAAAATACAGACAATGTGATGTGATACTGTGCACAGAGGGGGGTTGCTTCTAGCTTCCTGGATTTAGAGGATAAAGGTTGTAGGGTGCAGCACATCTCTACTGATATACATCTTTCCTATTATATTACCAGGGAAGTAACAGCTTTATAAAATATGGAAGTACTCTTCATTCATCTGTATCAAAAAAAAAAAAAAAGAAGAAGAAGAAAAAGAATGCATGACTTTTTTTAAAAATCTCTTTTTCTCTGAATGATTCAGATATCAGTAAGGTAGCCTCAGTCAACACAACGCTTTATCAGTTGACTGTCAACACTGTCTTGACAAATTCAAAAGAAGTGAGCCAGGATGTGGTGATGTTAACTGTGATGTTGACAGATGTGTTACTCTGGTGAACATTGCAGCAAGTCAAATGAGACATATACCGCAACTGTGGCTAATTATTAGGGATGACTTTGCGACTTTGAGTCCTCAATTGAACTAAAAAATAAATAAATAAATAAAACATTAATTACAGACAGTTATTATCTACTTTCATATTGAGGAAACACCTCGCTGCATTTCCCAACACCAGGAAGTAGAAAAAAAGCCTTTGTAATTACCCTTGCCACAAATGTGACACCAAGTTTCAGCAATTCATAGAAAAGAGTAGTCAGTATATGCAGCAAACACTTGCTTATGTTATTAACCTCTATTCATGTTTTATTGGTAGATTGTTGTTTTTGTTTTTTTTTTAGCAGCAATCCAGTTCTTAGTGTTCAGACAGTTAGATTAACCAAGGAGTTTCCAAAAACAAACCGCAGTGCTCGTGTGGGCCGCTCTGTAACCAAACTCTCAGGGCAACCGGGTATTTTTTTTCTAGAGCATCTGGTCTGTAGTTGCTTTAACCCTTTATAGGTCACTCCTTGAAATACTTGGAAAATGAAAATGTTTTTGAAGAATATTTCAAGTTATTTTTACTTTTGTGACTTAAATTTATTTTTTTTTAAATGTTGCAAATCTACAGTTTTAAAAAAAGAATGTATAATAAACAAAAGAAACAGTGACAAACTGCAAAAAACATTTATTTAGAAGCTTTTTAATTTGAGGTGATAATACTTACACAACCAGTAACGAAGTATTTTTAAAATGCTTGGCCAGTTCATTTAGTACCATTTTTCTTGGGGTAGTGGTATTAGTGGCACTAATCTCAAAAACTAAATCAAAGTGCACATGGTTCTTCAACCTCAAGAAGCGGCACAGGGTGGACATATTGAACATCTATGAAAGTTACCAAATGTGGTCACTTGCCCTATAAAGGGTTAAGGACATCTGGTGAGTTTTCTTTCACTTTCTCTGTAGTTTTAATAAGTCTAACACATACCTATGGCTACCTACTTGTTATAGCAAAGACTACAATAGTTAGTTTAAAAATGGAAATTGATGGGTTTTGGTTTTTTTTTGACACATTTGGACACCCAAACATTTGATCATCTTTGAAACAGTATCTACAGAGAAAGGTGTGGCAAAAAACATCTTTATCAGTCATTTAGTGAACAAAAAATATCAATAGGTATGATAGTCTTCTGTGGAAAAAGCCTCAGAACTACTACTGCCTGTTGTAGTAGAAAAAAATAATAATAATTCACAAATGTCCACTGTTACGATCCAGTCTCTAGGGTTAGCTGGCACCAGGGGCCATAACATCCACCAGTCTGTGATTTCACCTTGCTCAAGTTTTTGACCTTCTTCAATGCAAAATTACTTCAGTTTAAGATGTTTGAGGGTTTTCGTGCAAGTACAGCCCATTTCAAATGCTCCCATAGCATTTCAGTAGGATTCAAATTTGTGCTACCTTTCTTGTGCCATTTTGTAACTCTCTGTTTCTTCTTTCTTAAGCCATTCCTTGGCGGATTTGCAAAATTTGCTTTGGATCATTGTCCTGTTAACAGGTCCGCTCCCAGTTCAACTTCAACTTTCTGCCAGATGGCTTCACATTATTTTCAAGCACTCTTTAATACGATGCAGAATTTATAGATGAATAAATGACAGCAAGCTGCCCGGTCCCAGAGGCAGTGAAATAATGCAGAAGCATAACATTACCACCACCAAGCTTCAAAGTGGGTATGAGCTTGTTTTCCTGAAAAGCTGTCTCTCATCTCCACTAAACATGTCTCCCCTTACTGTGGCCAAACAACTGTTTTTTGTCTGTCTAGAGCATTTTATTGGGCTGCACGGTGCACCGTTGCCTCACAGGTAAAAGATCCCCGGTTTGCGTCCCGCTAGGACGCCTGGCAACTTTCTGCATGGAGTTTGTATGTTCTCCCTGTGCAGTATGGGTTCTCCAGCTTCCTCCCACCGACCAAAGACATGCTGAGGTTAATTGGTGATTCTAAATTGTCCTTAGGTGTAAAGGTGACTGTGCTTGTTTGCCTGTAAGTGTAGCGCTGTGATAGACTGGCAACCTGTCCAGGGTGTCCTCTGTCTTCACCCTGAGTCGGCTGGGATAGACTCCAGCCCCTTGTGACCCTAGCAAGGATGGATGGATGGATTGAACACTTTTTTCCAAAAGACGTGGGGCCTCATGTACAAAGATTTGCGTGGATTTCATACTGAAACCTGGCGTACGCTTCAATCCAGAAAATTGCCTAAGCACAAAAAAATCCAGATGAACGAAAGTGAGCACATACCTATATCCAAGCACATTTCCTTTGTACATCTCATTCAGTGTGGAATTGACCGCACATGTTGGAGTATCAGACTCCTCCCTCTCCATGCCCCTGATTTAAATATGCAAATTAGTATAAACAGGGCTGACAGGTGGATTCCCCTCACTGCAGGATCAGATAAAAGTAACAAGGATGAGCTCACCCCTTTTGAGCAGAGAGTCACGGCTATTGTGGGTGACACTGCTTTTCACAGGGGTGGTGGGAGCACACGTGGGTCACTCGGATCACCTCCAAGGTAAATATATATTGTGTAACTCACAAATTTATCCATTATATCGGTCATACAATAATCTGCTCACAGCCAAACAAGATACAGGTTCTTGCATAATCATGCCAGGATATCAAAGAGGAAGTCAAAGACTTTGTCTCATGTTGAATTACTCAGTTTATTATTTTCAAACAGACAATGAGTCAGGAGAAGACTGTGAGACGCAGTCCCAGCCTCGTATCACAGAGCCGGAGGATTCCTCCAGCCTCCCTGGCATCAGCTGATTCTCCAGTCCACCGCAACAGCCAGCTGCTGATACACGCACATGCTTAGTGCGTGTCAGGGGTATTAATATTAGGACAATTAAATGATTTACTTACCTAGAAGCCACCCATCCTGCACCGGGCCGTCTTGTAGCTTGTTCCCAACCATGCTGTTGGTCAGAATGAATGAGTCGTGTGTTGATCCAGGCCACCTCGCAACAATGTTACTTAAATACATTTGCGCATCACAGATGATCTGCACATTGATGGAATGAAAATGCTTCCTGTTTACATAAACAAATGCATCTTGTGATGGTGCCTTTATAGCAATGTGTGTGCAGTCGATAGCTCAGATTCCATTAGGAAAACCGGCCTTTGCTGCAAATTGCACTTTTATGTCGTCCTGTTCAACTGCAGTGTGGGAATTTGATATATCTGGCTGACATTCGGATGGTTCCATCCCACACAGCTGGCACGGCTCGGCTTCGTGTCGACTGGCACAGTCCCGATCGGTCGGCTAGCTCCCTCTGAAATGACCCTATGGCTAGGAAGCCCAGTGTGGTCAGCACCTGTACGGGCACAGGTAGAACATGGCTCCAGGCCGTGTTGCGCTCTAATAATGACCGCAGTTCTGCGCACAGTTCTAAGAGGATTGCCCTCGGGAACCTAAAGCAGCTGATGAGCCAGTCAGGTTTTCCTCTCAGTCTCTGAAAACCCGTTCTCTTGGCACTGCTCCATTGGTAATATCCTCCAACAGTGCCAAAGCTGCCATTGTTGTTAACGGTATCTTCTGCACCATTTTTCGCATACTTTTAAATCCAATCATCTGATTGCAAACACCTGGGTGTGCTAATTGTTCATCTGTGTATCTCTGATGTGCATATCACTTTGAGAAATGACATTTATTTTATTTTTTTTACAGTATTAGCAGTTTCGCAGCATCACCTCAAAGTGTCACCAATGGCTCAAAAGCAATAGAAACGTGCATACGCCAGTCAAGAAGTTGTCGTGGAGGAACGCACATTTCCACGATCATTTCACTCTTGTTACATCTGAACGTAAGTGTGGAAAAGTGCGTACGCCAAGTTTTTGTGCGTACGTACCCTTTGTGCATTGGGCCCCTGGTCCTTGCATCTATGTTCCTGAGCAAACTGTAATGCTCCAGTGTTCTCTTTGGAAAGCAAAGGCTTTTTCCTGCCATGCATCTTATGCAGGTCAAATATGTCTCTTTATGATTGCAGATGCAAGTACTAAGAGCTGAGTGAGTTAACTGCAGTGTAACTCACTCAACCTCAAGTGTTTCCTAGTTAAAATATAAAGAAAAAGTGCAATAAAGCTACATGAAGCACACATTTCTGTTTCACCACTTAACTTTTATTGGTACATATCTAGTTAAAAGTTCAGTTTCAAAAACAGCCCTTCACCTTTTACACAAGAATGCATTACAGGCAGCTTCACAGGAATTAGTGCACATTCTTACAGAATAGGGTTATGAAGTCACCCTTCTTCAGTGGATCGTAAATCGGCAGCTTTGGCAAAGACTTGATTCACAGTCAAATATTCAAGTAGCTTTAGTCAGAATCATCAATGATCAATGCAAAAACAATGTGCTTGTAACAGAGAGTGTATTTGTACAAAATAAAAAGAACAAACGTACTGTGCAAAAGACTTTGGCCACTATGAAACATGTCCCTTTAAAAGTATAGCACAGTACTCTGTACTCTGTAGTATACAGTGACCTACAACAATATCCCACATCTTATCCTATCTCATCTTATGACACCCAGGTTTTTTTTTTTTTAATTTTTAAATATGAGACAACATACATGAAACCGGTGTTAAAAAAAAGTTAAATAAATACTAAGTATTTGGATTAGTTAGCCTATGTATGTAAACATCAAACTACAAACACATTTCTTTATGGGAAGTGCATCTTGGATCTCCGCCACAAAATGAGCCTTTGTGAGGTGAGAATGTGTGTGACGACACTGAGCAACATCAGGAAGATCGTCATGGACATCACTATCACGTAGTGGCTGATGCTGCAACAGACAAAGACAGATTAACACGTTCAAGCGTAAAAGCATCAAATGGCGATACCACCAAAAAAGAAGGGTGAATGACTTTGTCAAGTTAATCATTAGTAATTAATTAAGACTTGCAAACCAAGCATTTCCTGGCTAATCTACCTTGTGCCAATGTCCAACCAGCTGCCATAGTCCTGCACCAGGAAGAAAAAGTGCTGGGGAAAGGGAGAGGGAGTTAAAATTTTATTATTCAAGGTCCACAGTGTACTCAACAGTCTGAAAGAGTGAAAGAAAAATCCTTAAAGGAAATAACATGAATGCCATAAACGTCTTACCAGGGCCATCAAGTCAGAGATAACCAGGACAATAAGGAACAAACTGGAATCATAGAACAGGAGACAAAGGAATGAAAACATCAGGATCAGTAACACGTGTTTACTTCATGCTCAGTTTGAACAGTAGATTCACACCATCTCCACACACAATGAAAAAAAATGTTGGCTTTGCATCATTTACTGTAGTTATCTGAGCTGACTCATGATGTAAGATTGATGTCTGACTCAAATTCAGTATAAAGGATGGACATCCTCAAAACCAGCAGAGAGGATCACACTAACAATCCAAGGTTTGTGACCAAACCAATGTCATGAGAGTTCAATACATTTGCTTTCACATGTATGTTGTTTTAAATGCTGCAGTGAAAGGTTACCTCCTTGATGAGAGCTGTGTTGCAACTTGGATGGTCTCAAATGTACACATTACTATGATGAATGGAATTATAACCTGCAAGAACAAAGGACAGCTTAAGAAAACGGAGGATTCCACAAATAAATTAATTAACTGAGAATGTTGACGGTAAAATTTCGGTCTCTTATAAATCCTAATTAGGCGCTGAAAAATGTTAGAACTTTGTGTTACAAAGGCAAGGCAAAACATATTCAAGCAAATTTCTCTGACAGATTAGAAACTAGATTAGTCACAATCTGCTTGACTACTTCCCCTTCTTGAAAACACTGTTTACCATTAAAAGAAAATACAGTACCTTCCACATCATCAGCCCTCCCATGATAAAGGGGTTAAAAACCGTGAGGAAACAATACACAGATGCTGGGTCAAAACTAGAAAAAAGGTAAAAGAAGCAGACAAAGTGATTACAGACAACACCAGACTGGAATCTTTAACTTTTGAGATCTATAGATTTCTTTTTGATCTTCAAGAGTTTTACGTTACACACGGACAAAGTGTATTCCGTACAGTGAAATACAATGGCACACCCTAAACAAGAGATCAGCTTCTCTATTAAATGCAAATGATGCACAGTCAGTATGTAATTTTTACAGGCCCTTTATTTCCTTCCTTGTTCAAATAAGATATGATTTATTGTCATTGTACAGAGTACAACTAAATGACAACAACAGATTTTGCATATCCCAGCTTGTTTGGAAGCTGGGGTCAGAATGCAACACACTGAGGCCACCCTGGATCTGATGGGGTTAAGTCTCTTACTCACAGCCAAACAGTGGCAGTTTATCACTCCTCCCCTGTGGTGACGCATTGCTAGTTATTTAAAAATAAAAGTCACACATCATCAACGAAACCAGACCGTCACTTCATCCTGACTGCACAAATACACACCAGCCACAGACTTCCTGCCATTTCGAACATGAACACACACACACACACAAGCATGTGCGTAGACATCACAAATATGTATTTACCTGTTAATGGACGCTATGTTTCCTGTCCCAAAGAAAGCAGTTATTATAAAAAATACCTGAAGAAAATGTACAGTCAAGAAAAGCTTTGAAGAATCGTTAAACTAATCAGTTAGGTTTCACTTCACACTTAAAAAAATAAAGTTACAGTTTTAAAAAAGATGATCTAATTTGATGGAGTTTGTCTTGAACAGCACCACAGCACTTCTTCTTGTGACAGTTAGGGATGCTATGTGCTTCAGCTACTGTTAATGTTCTGCAGATACTCTTAACAAGGATACAAAAAAATATGATCTTCGGATGTCGTCCAGTTTCAGTTGGCGGATCTTGGTGATGTCGATGTTTGCAGAGAAGTCAATAGTGGACAACTGAGGGTGAAACAAAAAAAACAGACATATTCCCTTAAACTCATTCACACACAGAAAAATACACGACAATAAACAGTCAGTATTGACACTAGTATGTACAGATGTCGAGCTTTGTGTGATCCAACTTCACAAATGACAGTATGGCACCACGAGTAAGGATTCGCTTCGTATGTTTTGGATTTTAAGAGTGGATAGGAAAAACACTGGAACACTTAGGCCAAATTATATGTTCTGCACACAAGAAAATAGAATTGCAAAAGCGCTTTTATGCAGCTGATAACATCGAGCAACTTAGATCACCATCTGTTTTCTATTTTAAAAAGGATTTTAAAAAAAAGAAGAGCTCATGGGTGTAAAAATAGATTTAATCTAAATTTAAAACAATCCTACAATAGATAGATTCACACTTTGAAATGTGCCTCTAAGGTCATTATGTGCGTCTAAGCCGCTCTGCTAATCTAAGTTTGGAAACATACACTCTAGCACTCTACCTCTTGCCTGCCGGAGACACCCTGAGCGAGCAAGGCCTCCTGTTCGATGTTGATCCACACAAACATTAACCAGGATAACACAGGGGGGAACAAGGCCTCTGACCTGGGTGGGAGAAAACAACAACATTAGAAACTGTGTTATTTTGTAGCTCTGCTGCACCAGTAAGTAAGTAATTGTTGATGTGTGTGTGTGTGTGTGTGCGTGTGAGAAATGCGTTACCCCGTGCTGAGCAGTAGGTATGTGGATGTGAGAGACAGAAATATGCTGAGGAGTCGATGGAAAAGACGGGTTGAGCTCAGCAAAGGAACCAATATAGAGGATACTGAGAAGAGAGAAGACACAGCAGAGGTGTGTTGGGGTTTAGACCCAGGAGGGCTTATATTACCAGAATTTGATTTATATCTTAAATATCTGATGAATATTCCGACACTGAACATAAGTGATATATCATCTATACCGCATAAATATAATTAGAACCACCGCAGGAATCTCTAAGATGTCGAACACGGGTAATTTCCCAGTATCTTGCGCTCACGTCCACCCACCTACCTAATGTGCTCCAGCTGATGATCTGATTAAGAAGCGGTAGACCCTGTTTCTGCTGCAGGCTGGAGTGCGTGAGGGATGGCACGTACGCACACACGGCCACGTGAAGCATCTGTTGAGTTTGGAATGTGATGAAGTATTTTTGGCAAATGCAGTGACACAATCACACCATAACACATGATGTGTTTACCTGAGCGACAAACTGCTTTCTGTCACTAGGGTGCAGAGGCGTCCTCTGTCGAGACGACCACAGGTAACAGGCTGAGGTGAAGAGAGTGAGCAGACCTGCACAGGTACTGAGCAAACAAACATCACATGTTGCTTTTTTTTTTGTTTGAAATACACGTTTTAAAGTCATGGAGGTTAATATTGCACACATACGTCGAGTAAAGCTGCTGCTGTTGCTATACTAGGCAGTTTATTTCTGTGAGATTCTGTTTTTAACTTCTCCACTATCAAATTTCTAGTCATTTTTTTTAGGAGAAAACAAAATAATGAGATTTTTAACGGGAAAACACATTGAAATACATTCAGTTTGCTTGTTATGGGGAGCTGTGCTCAAGGCTCCACATTTTTAATACATACACTGATGCTGGGAAATGTTTCTATTATTTCACAACATTGATTCCGACCATATTTCTATTTTGATTCCTAGCAAACAGCTTTTTCCACCCTGTAGGGATGTTTGATATTTCCTAACTAGAGAGAAATCACATATTTCCTGTAACTGACCTAACCTGTTTTGAATCTCACCGTCTGGTACATATTCTGATAAGTATAAAAGCAAATAAAGGAAGTACTCACACCAGATGGAGGTTAGGCTCTCTACCCACCACAGGCATCAGGGGGAAAGCAGCCAGACACAGACAGCCCAGAAACCAGCTCAGCGAGCGGAACTACACAACAACAGACAGTTAGTGTATTTGGTATTTGATACCACGCATGAACACATGTGCCAGAACAAGAAGCAAAATCTATATTTTGCAAAATGATCTTGTACCTGTTCTATCACAAAAAACTTTTTTTAAACATTCATCGTTGTGTATCGTTTGTAAAATTAATCATTTTCTTTATATTAATGTAATTATTCAAGAAGGAAAAGATACATTTAGGATTATCTGCAGCATATATCAAGTCCTGTAGCAACATTTGATTATAGAAACCTAAGAAAATGACTTGTATTAGCTTTAATCGCTGATGAAAGACAGAGTTTCTCCCATTGACAGACTTCCTGGAGACACACTTTTCCATAACCGTAAAGGTATGGAAATTAAAAACGGCATTTCTTTTCTTGGTGTAATGTGACTGCATGAGCCAGGCTTCGTAATGCAGTTACCTTGGCCTTGTGGTAAAGTCCTGACAGGAGGGGCCAGAGGGAGAGGACAACCAGGCCCACGGTCAGCATGGCGCGATGAAAGAAACTCACCACCTGGGGGCAGCAAAGACAAACAACCATCTAAGATACTGAGAAACATCATACTGTGCATGATGAACCCAACACATTGGTGAACAATTTGTAGTGTGTATGTGGAGGTCAGATAAAGGCTAATGAGTCATTTGTTACCAAAATACCGTAGCAGAAAGATGTTTTTTATATTCCTAAACAAGAAGACACAACAGACTTAAAGGCACCTACCAGTAGCTCAATTCCAAATGCCACCAGCACAAAATAGCCAAAACACTTCCACAGAGGCAGAGATGGAGCTGACCGAATCAAATCTGTTACAGTTCCGGACCTAAAATAGATTATTAATGAGATTAATTTTCCTGTGATAAAAGGGGGGGAGAAAAAAAAACCCCCTGCCAAGACCATCCCTTTATCCATTTACTGAGAAGAAACATGAATGGATACATCAAAGAATGTAATTAACGCCTCACTACATGTGTGCCAGACATGCATGCAAATATGTACGAGGTAAATAACATCTGATGAAAAAGTGCTAATTCTTTTTGCCGTGGATGCGTTTTGATTTCTCTGTTTGTGTGTATGGTGTTTGGTGCACTATACTCTGAGAACAGCATACAGGAACTATGCAGTCGTCTTTAATTTTATTCACACCCTTCCATTAAAGGAAAGGCAAAATTCACAATCGTAACTCAAATAACTAGAAACTGAAAAAAATAATAATAAACAACAATTTGCTAAATTATAAGTTAGTGGAATAAGACATTGCTTTTGAATTGTGGTTGAAAAGAATAATTCAAAAAAACAAACAAAACTTTCCTGGACAAATTAGAGCACTTTGCTGATGAGCAGTGGACCAAAATCAAAATACCTGTCAACAGGTGCAGAAGTCTGATTGAGAGTTAAAGAGAACACTTGATTGCAGTGATTGGCTCAAAGTGTTGTTCAACAAATTATTAGTTTATGGGTCTCATCATGCTTGTTTGCTTGTTTTTTGTGTTGTTGTTTTTAAATATTTCTGCTGAACCACAACTCAAAAGCAATCTGATGATTTTCATTAAATCTTTATTTATTAATAATTTTGTCAGTTTCAACTTATTTCAGTGACAGCTGTTTTTATCCTTCTTTAACGGGAGGGTATGAATTCATTTGATGAATGAGTTGTTTGAACAGACGGCAATAAGACATGGTTTGTGTATCTGTCTAGCTTACAGATTTAAACCGTGTTTGCTACTCACTCTTTAAGAACAGAGTACCATACAGGGACGGGCAGCAGGCAGTAAATGTAGTAGGTAATGGGGCTCCTTTGGATAAGCAGGAATGCAGTGATCACCACTGCCACACACATGCACAGCCTCGCCAAGTTATGGTTGGGATTCTGCACACACAGAGGAGCAATACCGCCTTAACGAGACATTCGAGTTTCATAAGCCTGTTTTTCTGGAAGAAATCTTATGTAGCAAAGAAAGTGGAATTACGCTCTGCTGTGTGTGTCCCAACCTGTTTAGTGAGATTTGGGTGTCTGTGGAGGCTGGCGTGAGTCTTCAGTATGACTAAGACGACATATGAAGTCCAGCCTACAAATCCAAGCACCACGCTGCAACCCAGGAAGAACCTGTCGTAGGTGTGGTAGTAGACGAGGCCTTCCAGAGAGTAGGATATCAGAGACCGGCACAGAGAGATCTGACGAGAAACAGGAGAGCGGAAATCAAATGGGGTGCTCAGAAAAAAAAACCCTTACACAGAAAGTGCAGACTGTCTTTTCCCTGTTACTCACAGCATCGTTATACTTCTCCAGCTGAATCAGTATTCGGGCCTTGCGGGTGAATTCTGCTTGTTTTGACTCAGTCAGGACTCTGGGAAAACAGAGTAACAAAGCAATAAGAATTGGATAAATTGAATTTAAATGTGGTCTTGAATGTGTTGACCGTACAAGGGGAACATTCTTTGCCTTTGCACTTAGGCAGCAGCGAAAGTTAATCTAAACAATGCGTTGCAATGTCAGCAGCAGAATCTGGTGAAACATATTATATACTCATTTCTCGTTCATGTTACTTTACAAAATGCAACTTCTAGTCTACTCCCCCCACATTTTTACATGCTATAAACTGAGCATGACATGAGCACTTAGTAAACATGACACGCTATCATGAACAGTACATTCAATTTCTTCACTCAGTTGCTGTAAGTAAAAGTTATTGAACTTACTGATATGGAGTGAAGAGAAAAGACAAGGTTGTCTCCTTTTTCTGGCTCATTTTCATCTACAGAACAAAGAAACAAACAGTAAAAATGAGCTTTTATAGGAATACATTATGTCAACCTCTGTCCTGGAGATGATGGTAACTGAGGAAACTTTTCTATCAGTCTTGGTTTATTCTGACATTTTGTACATGCATGACTCAACTGCAACTCTTGGGCCACTGGATGCTGTTTACCACTCTGGACTAGTGTTATCATTGTTGACAAATGTATTCCTCATTATTGTGAGCCGTATGCTAAGGTTGGGTGGTCATCCCTTCCTATAGGTTGTGATAGACACTGAGTTTTATTCATTTATAAAGTTCTTAGTTTTTGTTTTTTTAACCTCCTTACATTACTTTACTGCTGTTGTTGAATACAGGCCCTCAGTAAATGCACTCAAATGATTGGATTACGTTTCAGGTGCTGGCTGTTGTTGCTGAACTTTGCTGAAATCTTTACTCACTGTGCACCTGCAACCTGGGGTAACCGGCAGAACAATCCCAGGTTTTATTTTTTGTTAATCTTTAAGGCAATTTGGGCTTCTAGTTTAATTTATACTACTTAAAACTGTCAACTTTTAAACTGGCTCAACTTGTTTTAAATCTTAATTGCTTTAGCTATTTTTAGGCTTCATTATTTTACTAATTTGCCTTTTTAATGTCTTTACTGCTAATTTTGTCTCAGTTTTCTTCAACTGCATCTTCTGTCTATTTGTGTCTTTGTTCAGCTGTGTCATAAATGAGGCCCCTGCCTTCAATGCGGCTCCAAGTTCAAGTAAAGCTTGATGTACAGTTACTAATCAACATGCCAGCTTGTAGGGAAGATGCATGCTGTCATACCTTGAACTGCTCCAGCACTTGAATAGCATTTGTGTACATGCTCTCTGCCTTGAACTGGTCACTGTTGTTAAGGTAGAGAAGCGGTAACACACCCTAAAGAGACACAAATACACATACAACCATGTCATAAAGTCTTTAAAAAAAAGGATTGTAATACGTTTGTTTTAAAAGAATGCTCAAAATCCATCCTTGACAACTTTGCGCTAAATAGTTACATATGACTTTGTAAGATGAAAATAACTAAAATCATTAAATTGTGCTTAATTTATCTCAAGACTTACAACCGAGTTAACGGGAATTGGTGCACCAATGAGAGAAGCCATGAGTGGAGCAATGTCAGCCTGCAAAGAAAAGCATAAAAATATAACAAAGCTTCCATGCAATTGGAATTTAGTCGTGCTAATTGATGACAGGAACATATTAAAAAAGTTCCCTTGCAAAGAGACTTACTTGATTGACGTCAACTCTGCGAAAGTGCTCCAATTTCCAATCTGGGAGACAGTAGGACAAATCAGGACAACACTTAGACTAAAAGCATATAGTGTAAAAATTGGGGGAAAAAAATTTGCTTGAGAGTACCTTGCAGGTACCCGTCATTGTACGGTTGGGGTTCCGTAACTTTCTGGGCATTACGAACGCCAGCTCCCCACACCACTAAAGGGGTGAGTGTCTCAGAGGGATGACCTGCACCGTGAGAACCTGGAGGCACACAAACATGGAAAAACAGCAGTGAATTTGTATGTTGCCAACATTATAATTTTTAAGAGGCAGGCGGCAAAAGGCAAAATGTACACAAAGAAGAGATTTACCCCAGTTTGTCATGCCATGATCAGAGGTGAACACATAGGCTGTTCGGCCATCATAACCAAAGAAGTCCTCCACCATGGAAACCAGCTCAGCCACACCGGTATCTACTAGACCGATATTGTCGAGGTATTCCCTGGACAAAGACAAAGTATAAGATAAAAATACTTCTTCATCAGCAAAGGTTGATTTAGAACAATTTGATGATTTGATTGAAAACTACATAATGTACAGTTAAATCAAAATTAATATGGAAGGAAAAACAAGAAAAAGTCCTGAGACTAAGTAACCTACTCACTGTGACATTGGTCTGTGAGCATGTCCATTAGTGTCAATACCCAGGAGATGCAAGAAGAAGACGTTCTTATCCTTGAGCAGACTGGCCTTCAGAGTGGAGTTAGACTTCGCTGACTGGAAGAAGGACTGTTACAAAAATTAAATATAATTTGTTAAATTAATTCAAGAAATCCATGTGCAAACCTTCATCAATTGCACTGGTGCAATTAAACATAAATTGTCCAATAACGTTTATAGCAGCCCTACTACAATCTATTGAAATGACCCCAAGTGGCTTCAGATTATGCTACATGAAAATGCATAACTTGAGCACAAAAAATACAAACATGGCATGTATACAACATATGTTTTATGTTGGTAAATGTTGTCCTAGTTATAGCAAAAGCTACAAGAGCACTTATTAAAAGATATTTATGTGGCTTAATCAGTTGTTATTATGTAATCATTTATCGCAGCAGCCATCTTTATTGTTTGTACTTTCACTCCCGTACTTTGACTTGAGTGAACACCCAGGTGTCCAGTCTGGATGCATCTGTGGAGGCAAAGTCCTCCTCCTGTGCTGGGTATGTGTGGGTATACACATGGTCTCCACTGGCACCTGGAGGAAGCAAAGCGAGAAATGAGATTCATTACAGTTAATGTTCATAGATGTTGTTCTGATATAATCCACACATTTAATTAGTAATGAGGACATAAAAAACAGAGACTATGAAAAACAAAAAGTTGTTATCCACTCATTTAAGTTAGTAAATTCATTTCTAAGATTAAATGTCTTATTTTTGATACACTCTTTATCTGTGACCTTTTTTGCTTTTGTATTGACTAGGGTAGTGGTTCTGTGTGCAATGTTTGTATGAGTGTGTGTTTGTGTGTGTGTGTGTGTGTGTGTACCTTTGGCAAACATGGGCAGGATATCAGGACTGCCCCAGCACCAGGTGTGTCTGCTCTCATTAAACACCGAGTCAAACTCTACAGGGTTCTCCTTCCAGCCTGGAAACATGCACAAACAAGAATACTCACATTCACAAACAGACACAACAGTAGAATCCCACACGGAGACATAGGGAATAAACCATCCATCCATTTGCTAAACACCCTTTATTCTGTGGAGGGTCACTTGCAGACTGGAGGCTATTCCAGGTGACACAGGGTGGAAGGCAGGCCACAGGTCACCAGTGCATCACAAGACCAACACAGTGAGATAGACAATCATGCCCACTCACTCTTACACCTACTGCATATCTCTGCACTGTGGGAGAAACCCGCAAAAAACCCATGCATGCACAGGGAGAACATACACACAGAAAGACCCCGGCTGACAAAACAGAAGAATATGAGGGCAAAATACAAACTGACTGTTCTAATATCCTTTTCTGTATACAGGAAACACAACATGCACCTACCTTTAGCAACTGCACTAACATCCTCATAGAAGCCCGCGATGAGAGCAACATGGCCAGGCCGAGACTCAGTAGGCACTCGTGTGTGTGACACGCCCCAGGTACCCGTGTTCTCTATTACACTCCTAATATTGGGAAACAAGCGCACAAACTCACATGAGCTCACACAAATGCAAGCTACTCAGGAGTTATGAACAAAGTATGAGAAAAGAGCAAGCACAACTACCACACTTCTACAATAAAGCACTGAAAATGCATAATCCTTTCTGCACTGGACTAATTAATATGCACAAAACACTCCATGCAAGAGCTTTACATCAGTTCTCTAACCTCAGGTATGGAGTCCTGGATGAGCCATTGGGGAGCAGGGTGAAGAGACTGTCTGCTCTGAGGCCATCGGCCACCACTAAAACCAGTCTGGAAGCAGGAGGTGCCAGAGGTGTGGACTGGGGTGTCATGCCATGCACCAGAGGAGAGGTGAAGTAAATGTCAAAGATGGAGAGGAAGAAGACCACGTGGACTGTCAGTCCAACCAGGAAGAAGGTGATCATCCTCATTTTGAGTGTCAACAGCACGCTGGCTCTGAAGAACAACTGTGGGCTTTCTTGAGATAGAAAGGGGGAGATTTTATTTGTTTTGGAGGTAAAGGAAAGTGAGAACAAGGAGACAGAGAAAGAAAGAGATACTAGAAATGACTGAGGCAAACAGAGACGTAGAGTAATACAGACTGTGGTGGTATTAGAAAGTTTTAGAATAATACAGACTGGTTAAGCCAAAGTGTGTGCCATGTAAAGACCGCTTAAAGGCAGGATTAACCCTTGTCCACCATATGTCATTAGCAAGGTGCAGCAGTAGTGACTTTATTTATTTACATCTTAACAGTCCTCCATTGTGCCAGCAGAGTGAGTGCTATTATTGTTAACAAGAGAATGACTTAGAAAATAGTTTACATCTCTAGGCCATACAATAAGTCTTACCTGCATGTATCGTCAGCGGAATATGACCATAACGACGGGGTACGTTGTCTTGTTAAAGAATGAATGGAAGCGCGGGACTAGTTTATCACTATCACACCCATTCACCTGTTAGACGCATTGATTTAGCTTCCACTTTTATCTCCATAGATGACCTATTACATATCCAGACAACTAAACAGATAAAGGCTCTGTTGCCCGAAACAAGATCAACGTAATCTTTAAGTGCGTACTTTTACAAAACCAACTGTCCGGCTTTCTAAGAAGATTACTACTACAATTCTGCACTTCCTTGTTGTGACTTGACCGATGACGTTTTTTTGCAACTGCATTGTGGGTAGTGTAGTTGAAGTACACTATATTTTCCGGCGAGCGACATACCTAGCTTAAAACGTTGTGAAAAATAAAAAAAACATTCAGTTTGGTTAAACTATTAGCATGATAGTGCAGTTTAATTGGGAACGGTTTTGTTTTTTAATTTGTTTTTAATTTATATATTTGACAACACATTTGCTAGCAAAGGCTATAAACTGTCAAATGTGCCCTGCCCAGACTTTCTCTCTACTTCAGAAGTATCCAATGATTTTCCAGTATCCAACAAAAGGGGCGGGCTCTTATTGTACGTCCCTCAACTTTGACCAATCACGACTTCGTATTCCTTCCCCTTGTCAAAGCCACCTACCAAACCTCGGCTAGCTTGATATCCATTCAGGAAGAAGCGGGTCTGATTAGCTTAGCTAGCTTAGGTTGCTAAAAATCTTTATAGTGCAAAAATGGCGTCGGTCAACCCATTTAATCTCAGTGATTCTGAGGAGGAGGCTGAGCGGCGCCCCAATGAAACAGTTGACACAGAGAGGAGCCCGAGCGACGGAGCGCCAGGGCCACCGCCAGGCAATCCTTTCTCTCCGCCTGCGGACGCCGAACCTCCGACGCTCCTGCTGTCTAGCAACCGGACGAGCCCCAGCGGTGAGGGCATCTCGGTGTCGGCCGCGGCCACCTCCGCTATGGCAGGCAGCGCCGAGGCACGGGTGTCTGTGGATGTCATTGCTGCTCAGCTATTAAGGGACCAATACATTCTCACGGCCCTGGAGTTTCACACTGAACTGTTGGAAGCAGGCAGAGAGCTTCCGCGACTGAGGGATTATTTCTCCAACCCTGGCAACTTCGAGCGACAGAGCGGCACTCCACCGGCCAAAGACCAGGTACTCGGACCTGGAGGACCGCTGAGTGAGTAACGTTAGCTGCCCCCAGTGCTACCCGCCTAGCTGTCAGCTAGCCCGGTCTTTAACGTTGTATTACTCAAAGTTAGCCCCCAAGCTAGCCAACGTTAGCTTAAAACATTGCATTTGGAAACCAATCGATCTTGAGATATCAGCTTGCTGCACCTGCCCTCCCGTTCGGGCCGCAGCCAATAAACGGGTTTTGTGGGTCAGCTTGTGTTGGCAGACACACAGACCAGAGCCTCGCTGAAATGTGATTAGGCCAAACCACATTGTCTACTTGCTAGAAAAGATGCTTTGTGGAGACGAATGCGTGATAATATGACAGACCTGTTGTGATCGCTCGCGTGTAATTGAGTCAGGTAGGAAGCCGCTCCTTTCTTCAGGCTACCGAGGGGTCGGAGGTCAGGATCAGCGACAGAGAAGAAAACAAGAGAGGCATGAGAATAAGAGGATGTACAACCCGCTTTAGCTGTTCTGTATTTAACTTTGGCAATGCCAGGAAAGCAGTTCTAAATTTGAAGAATAGGCTGCAGTGGGTTGGTATAAACAGGACAGTGTTGCTTGCATTAGACTTGAACTGAAAGCTACATCATATGGTTTTGGAGCACATTGTGTTAGTAGTTGTGTTTCTCTGTAGCAGATGTGTTTATCAGTCTAGGGAGATAAAATATGATTTTAGTTTTCTGTTGAAGGGCATATATCTGTCGTACCATCATCCACTTACAGGAGTTTATTTCTGGAACAACCTGTGGCATTATTTGGTGGCTATAAAGCGTGGATGTCTCTGGATCTGGAGCTCCTGAACTACAGCCGCTGGCCTCACTTTCTGCATCCTTCTGCCCCCACCACGATGCCTCCTGTTACCTCCACCAACTACGAAATTGAATATTTCATTGGTACATTTGAAATGGAGGAACAAAAGAACAATAACCTCTAATCACTTGTTTAACTGTACACTAAATTGTATAATTCATCCTACACCCACCCAACCGGTCGAGGCAGATGGCCGTCCCTCCCTGAGCCTGGTTCTGTCGGAGGTTGTTTTTTCCTCTGTGGGGGTTTTCGGTTCCTTCCCACTGTTGTGGACTGCTTGCGGACTGCTGAAGCTTATAGGCAATGTTTTGGATTGTTGGATGTTTCTGCCTTTGTAAAGCGCTATGAGATGACTTCTTGTTGTAAATATGCGCTATACAAATAAAATTGAATTGAATTGAAAGAGTCTGAACCTGTAAACAGACATGCCATGCAAATGGTTACTATGGTCACAACTCCAGCCACTACATACATAAAGCTGCTATTGAATGGTGTTACTGATATTACCATAAACTACAGCTCAACTGTGGCCAAACATGGGGGCTTTGCATTGTAGGGAATATGAGTGGCAAGCTCTTAAGGCCGGATTTCACTGAGGTGAGTGGAGCAAATGTATTCACATGTATTGTAGACCGACAATATAAGGTATTATAAAGCTCCCTCAATAAGGAAAAAATAAACTTTGTAGATATATTTACTTAACATGGAGAAATGCATTGCTTTATGTAAGGAGTGTTGGGGCGTTGAAATGATAGTGATTTACAAATGTCCTTGTCCTTAATCAGCTCTTTAATGTAAGTGATGAATCTTGGAATTGATTCAGTGATTGGTATATTGAAGTTTAGATGCAGGGTAGAAAGGGTAGGAAGGATGTGTGTGTGTGTGTACAAAGATGGATAATACATATTCTACCTATGTTTTAAGCTGTCACAGACATTTTATCCAGCACTGTGGTGACAAATTGAATTGACAGAAACCTAAGTCCCTTGTTCACCATCCAAATGTAACAGAAATAAACAGACCTTTACTCATTCTTTCTTCTTAAACCTGCCCTGAAAAACAAGACAAATCTCTGTGTTCATCAGTTTATGTGAAAACAGATGGTCTTTGTGTCTTGATGATAAATTGCCATGTCACACCAGTGAGTGTGAATTGCCTCCTGGACAGTAGTTTCAAATTAAGGAAGGAAAACAGCGCACTGCTTCCAATAGCTGTCAAATGTCACACTGGTACGTGTTATCAGAGTAAAGGTAAAATGAAATGGAAATACATGATCTGTTGTTTTATTTGTTTGTAGTTTAGTAGCAGTTCTACCTTTCTCCCTAATAATTCAAGGATCTGAATCAGTGTTTTTAGTTTATGACCAGCTCCATTTATTTATAGAATGAAATAATTGCAGCCCTGCAATTGTAATTTAGACTTTTTTTGATGCAAGCTGAGCAAAAGGCCAGATGATGTATTTTCCTTGTGTGTAACTGGCAGTTTTCCAGCTCAGAGAACCATAGTATATGAATAAACGCTGAAGAAAAAGATGATATGGTTTTATGACCAGACGATTTATTTTCCCTTACTTTATATGCAGTGGCAATGGGCAATGACCTGATGTTTCAGAAAGGCTGTTGCACAGTTTTGAATGTGAGTCTCGATAACTGGCCTGAGGCTAGGTGTTGCAGATAGCAGCAACTCAGATTCTCTACATCCTTTGCTTGTCAGTATGAAACCCCAACCTTAAATACTGACATATATCTTCGACCGCAGCAGCACACATGAACAGCTGTGATATGTGTGTGGTAGTTGTAAAGGTCTAGTGGTTGCATGCAAACCCCCAAAAGGTTTAAAGCAAAGTAACGGAATAAATGTTTGATGATGGTGTCTTCGAAAAACATGACAGGACCTGACAGCTCCCCTGTTGTGGTACTGTCAGGGATGTTGTAAAGAAACAGTAACCTCAGTCTCAATAGATATTCATGAACAAAAGTTCCTAAAAATATGAAACTTCGATACAGCTGGAAAGTCAGATCTGTCAAACGTAGACAGAAAAAAAAGCTGTAGTGATTAATAAATTGATAAGAGGGACAGACTCAGCCCAAGGCACATTCCAGCATATTCTAATAGCCAAGACCTCATGTGATCACTGGAATGGTATTTTTACTCATGTGAGGATTCCCCTGATGGATTCCAACATGAAGATACACTTAAGTAGTTGTTAAAGAGCGAGGGATACCGTGTGAATGTGTGCTGTCTTGTTAACACAGCAGCTAGCTGTTTAGATAGCAATTTCTTTTGCGTTTTTGCAAACAAAATCTACACATTCATTACCTTGCTTTTGACAATATGATCCTTGAAGACTGCACACCTAAAAAAAAAATAACCTCTATCTTTAATTTGCTTATTGTGTTGGAATGAATTCAGCCTGCATACTGCTATGACCTCAGAAAGTGTTGAAAAGATGCATGTTGTAGCTGTAGCATACAATCAAATGGACCGTGTAACACATTGAGACATGGGACAGCATGATAACCACACCGCTGTCAAAAAGGATAAAGCAAAGAATGACACATCATCTAATGAGTGTGGTGATACTTTGCTTGGATGTTCTATCCTTAACCCAAATATTGCTTTAATATCATCATTCAAATGTCTGGTCAGCCTTCTGATTCCTCTGCTGAAGTAAAGTATCCATTCATCATCTAATGCCCTACAAAAGAACAAAGCATTCAGCTGGCCAACCAGAAATGTTCTTGGTGTAATCATTACGAGTGCACAAACTGTGACTGTAGCTGTAAGTAGCTGATTGCAAATAGCAAATAATGACTGTGTTATAAACCACATCTGTATCTGTTGATCAAAGTCTCATGGCACAGCAAGGCATCTCCCACCACCTTGCTAATTTGCAGCACGTATATATGAATGGGTTTGTCCACTTGTCACTGACTAGTCAAACAGTTATTTGCTCTTTGACACAAACCTTTTTTTTTTTTTTTGTCGTTATGTAAAATGTTACACCCTTGGTTGACAGAAACCTGCCATATATCAGAAGTTTGTGTGACTTGCCACATCAATATAATCTCCAGACAAGACAGTAAAAATTAACATATTGTTTTAGACCCTTACAAATACTCTGTGCAGGCCACATAGTAGGTTCACATCATAAATTCTAGGTTAGGCTTTTTATGACTACAGTTTATGTTATATTGGAACAGTGGCCGGCCATCCAGCTCTATAACACAGCACATCTGCACAGTGAGCTTTAGGACACCAGTTACATTTATTCAGTGGGAGATTCAAAGATAGTCACTGTCAGTCTGTTGAAACAACAACACACTTGCACATCTCCCAAACAGAAGCACTGTGTGTGAATGGGTCCAACTTCATATGGTCTCTCATGTTCCCCTCCCGTCCTTTTCTCTGTCAGGGGCAGAGACTTGGTATTGTGTGAGAAGGTGATTAATGATATTATTGGAGCACTGGCAAGGCTCCTTGTCGCTTTAGACCGGCTGCGACTGGTTGCCTGTTCATAACGCTCTGCTTTTCATTAAGCTTTGTGTGTGTGTGTGTGTGTGTGTGTGTGTGTGTGTGTGTGTGTGTGTGTGTGCAAATGCAGGTGTCTCTGTGCATGTGAATGTTGGTGCTTATGTGCAAGTGCATGCATCACAGCAGTGGTGCTCACTTGGAAAGTGGGTTATTATTCTGTGTTAGGTTATGACTGCTTCTGGTGTTAATAAATGCAATTTTTTCATAGAAACCCAATTTGTTCCTCATTATCTACATGCAAAAATTACATATTTGCAAATCTCTGGCCTGGTTCAATTCCACATAAGTGTGGTTTATTATTATTTTTTGTATAATTATATAATATTTATTATTTTACATGTGATCATATTATGTGTATTTTTTTCAGAACCTTATTTACTGCTACATTTTATCTAATTTATTTTCAACAAATGTGCCTTCAGCTTTGTGCTCCATAGTTTTATCTCATCTTTATAAACGCTTATAAAACCAGCATCAGTCTTGCCAAAACATCCCTCCCATTAAATTAAAAGAGCTACTTGGCTACATCCTGGGTATTTGTCCTCGTCTGTATCCTGTGTTTGTATCAGCTCACTTTTAATGTGTCTTTTTGTTCCTGGTCTAAACTCTTGTACCTCTCTCTGTCTCCAATTTATCTCCTTTGTCATTCAACTTGCCAAGCAGAAAATCTGTTGTCTTTGTGTGTCTGTGTGTGTGTCTGTGTCTGTATAAGTGTGTGTCTATGTGTGTGTCTGTGTTGTTCACCCGGCCAGGCAGGGGCAAAGTAAGGAGGAGACGGTCTAAAGTGTCAGATCTGTCTCAGTCCAGATAGTACACGCCACAGGCACCGAGCTGAAAGGTCAACCAGGCAGAAATACTTGCTTTTTGCAAAGCAAGCACATAAACAAAACACATCTGTGCATGATTCTGCACATTATGAAATTGTGTTGTTGTTGTTTTGTTTTTTTTTCCACATGCATATACCTGAAAACATTAATTTACTGTTTTGCCAAATGCAGGTAAGACAATAATCTGCACACATCATCAGGAGGTAAGGACAGCTGGAAGCATTCTCCACAGGAAAAGCTATTCACCTGACATCAACCGGACAGAGCATATAGACACAACCAATGCAAAACAAAACCCTCTCACTCTGCAGTTACAGGACTGAGAGTGTGTGTGCTTAGTGAAGCTGCATGTGACACACACACAGATAAAAGAATCTACTTTTCTATGTTTTCTAAACTTATTTACCACAAAAAGAATTTTATTCTTGTGTCAAGGCGTGACTGTTTTTTTTCTGTTGGTATCCTCCTTTAAGATTCCGTCATTTCATTTCTACATTTTTAAAGGTCTTGGTTATTTTAATCATACCAGGTCATCATATAATTCAGGTGATGCTTACAGATAATGAATGACAATTTAACTTTGTAACTTAAGCAAACTGCTGCTAATAGGTGTCACCAGCAACAGGTTTGTTTAGGAATTTTTTTTCCTGCTTCACTACTCACACAACCCCTGCTCTTTAGCTTGGCTTTTACGCCAACAGGGCTACATTTGCCTTGACCTTCTACTGTATCTTGATATCAGAGAACAAATAGGCCAATCTCACACTTCCATTGCAGTGGAAAGAAAACTAACACCATTGGAGAAGCTACCGGAGTAGCCCAGCTCAGTGACATATGAGCATGACTATGCTGATTTATCAGCTTTATTTCTTCTTTGGGTGAGCAATGCTTTTGGTATTACAACACTCAGATGACAGGTTATTGTTTGGAAATAGGGTGTTTCAGCTAAGCAATGTTGCATTCATGGTTGATTAGTTTCTGTCCATGTGCAGCGGCTGAATTGATTCCTGGCTAAAGTATAACCTTCCCACATAGTTTAGAAAGAGCTCTGCTTTCAAGTGACTTTAGTAAGGTTTCTGTTTGTATTGTAGAAAGGTGGACTTTTAACTTAAGCCCAGTATCGGCATGCTTTCAGCCTATTGAAGAGTCCTTAAGCAAAATAGTGAATCCCTGCCACACACAGTGCAGCTAACTCTGTCTCATCAGAGGAGAGCATGCAGCATAAAACGCTGTCACATTTTAAGCTCTGTGAGCTGCTTGATATTGAGATCATCTAACTGTGTGATTATGTGGCTGTATAGTTGTCTCACTGCTACCCCTGTCTCTGTGTCTTTACTCAGATCGAGCTGGCAGCATCAGCACCTTGGACTCTCTGGACTTTGCCCGATACTCGGATGACGGCAATCGAGAGTCAGACGAACGGGTGGCAGGTAAGATGAACTGTATTGACAGGGCTCAAAGCTAGAGACCCAGCTCACCTTGGGGAAATAAAAGGGTAATGACTGAATGGGAGAGAGCAATAGAAAGAAGGGAAATAACACCTCAAAGCTGCATCCGTGACTATAAAAGCTGTATCAGTTTATTCTAATCTATGATAATAATCTGAAGTATTCAAAAGCGTAGATGTTTTTTTGTTTTTTTTTTCTTCCTGTTATTGTGGCTCTGCTTTGTCTTGCCTCCTTAGTAGGTATGACAAAATCACGAGTATACTTTTTGAACACATGGTGTCAAATAACCCAGATAGTTGGGGTTTCTCAGTGCCATGGTTTTGTCACTGTAGGCTTTTTAAACCAACTAAGTAGCATAAAGTAATCTTTCTTTAACATATTCTACTTTCAACATGCAGTATGCTTCTTTCTGTTCTGGGGTTGAGCTGCTGGTGTCTCCTCTCATCAGCTAGCACACTGCGGAGTCAGTCTGTGGTATTTTTGGTCCAAGACCTGCTTCAGCATTGTTTGATATTACACTCTCTTCCCCCCGTGGCTCTGTCGTGACACACCATTAGATAGATTTAGGCAAATACATTAACTGTTGTGTCTGACACCAATGATGCGTCATCACACAACGCTGCCTTCTAAGAGCAGCTGCTCATTTATGAGCACGTTATTAGTTTTCAGATGTTGTGTGATGAGTATTTTCACGCTGTTGACGAAAGAAAAGTAAACAAATGAATAGGCCTGTTACTTTAACGTAGGACAGTGTTGTCATACAGGGGCCGTTTCTGTTTTGTTAAACTGATCTAAATCGAATTTCAATCTTTCTATTTCTTCCAACATGAAGACATTGCTTTTTAGCCATGGTTCAATGCCATAATACAGTGGTTAACATTATCCATTATCAGCCTTTTGTAGTCATCCACCCTTTTGGTCGGTAAGTGTCAGTCACTTAGTCCTGAAAAGCCCCAATCCATAACTGTAGTGTGGATTTATGTAGTTGTGTGCGAACTGTTTTAACACTGGAATATTTTGTGCTTAACGTTTTCTATTTCTTTGGCATTAAATATTATTTTATCCCACCATTGTACATAGATACTTCGTATATACACTGTATGTACGTTGTTTGTAATCATAAATGTCAGTAAATGTAATGTGTGTATTTCATTATAAGAGTAGAAGAAGCACTATTTTGTAAATGTCAATATCATAACTCGTGCAGGGGGAATGTACACCTAAAATGTAAACAGTGCTTGCTTATGGTTTGGGGCTTTTATTAGTTGATAAAAACAGATTTATAATAATGCGTAGTAAGGGCTCATTTAAAACCATGCAGCAGAGATATTGGTTCCGCCTCACACCTACAAATTCTGCATCTTTTCAAAAAAATGGCAATTATTCACACACTTTACCAAATTGGCACCTCCCCCTCCTCTCTTCACTTTTCAACCATCCCCACTCTCATTCCCCTCAACCTGTTCTTCTCGCCAAGATGCCTGCCCCCAGCTGTCTGACTCTGGGTTTTCTGGCTTCCTCCTGACGTTGATCAAACCCCAGTGAAATACTGGACAAGTCACTCCATCCAGACTAGCTTTTTGCTTTTTTTTTTTTTTTCCTCTTCCCGTATTCAGTTCTTGGTTTTCCATTTTGTTGCGATTGCATCCTGTGCACTCTTGATCTGCTGGAAAACTTAGTTGGTCAAAATGGGTGGTCTCTGTTAGACAAGTAACTAATAAAAAAAATATTGATGTCATTCTTTACCTGAATTACGGAAACAAAAAACTGACATGGCCTTTTGAGAAATAGTAGGTTGTATTTGACCCTTATTATCAAAGATCGTTAAAGAGTTATACCTACCTTTTACACTTCCTGTACTGGCTTATTTAGCCCTTAAAGGAAGAAGTGTGAAACCTACTACAGCACCCATTGCACCACAATCCTAGACATTTAATGACATATTTTGAGACAATAAGAGGATCAGGATCAAGTAGCGGATTTTCAGTGCACAGCCATGCAACATAGTTTTCCTGCTCCATCGCTTATTACTTTTTGCGTGTGTTTTTTATCTAACGTGTCTTAAGATCTTGTGTGTACTTTTTCTTTACTCAGTGTTAGTTTAGCATTTCAAATTGGAATTTAGTGGCCTAGCCCAATACCTGCTGCTTCTGATTGTGTACGATGTCAGAAACAGCTTGCTCGTGTTATGATCTATGAATGCAGTGGTTTTTTTGTTTTTGTTTTTGTTTTTTATGGAAACAAGTCTAAACGAGTACGGCTAAATCATATTTTGACTCTTAATTTTTATAGCTTAGAATAGGTTTGTTCATAGTGTAAATCCAAATCTGTTGAAAACAAGTAACCTGAGCAGTGGCTGTCCTTTTGAGTGGCTTGAAACCAAATGTTTTAATTACTTACAAGTAAGGCATTTGCCTAGAAAAAAAAAACCTGTGTCAGACAGCTCCTAGATTGTCAAGGGCATATTTTAGTAGCTTGAATAGATTTGCTCACCTCAGCTACAACTGAAATAAATTTTGGACTCCCATTTGTTAAGTCAGGCACATTGTTGATGTCAGTGGGAGGAAAACGAGGGCAGGAGGTCCTGTCATTGAGATGTATCTCAATGCATTGCACACACCTGTCAAACAAACATCCAGGCAGCTTTACCATGGTCCTCTGCTGCATGCGTTCCTTAGACTCCATGATTTGCATGCATCCTTTTTTCTTTTTGTTGTTTTGTTTTATGACTCTTATGATCTTATGTGTCGTTTGGTTTTTCATGCCCATCTTTGTTTTATTTGTTTGTTCCCTGTCTTTGGTTGGATGCATTTCCTGTGTGTGTGTTGTCAATTCCTGTCCAGTGCTGGAGTTTGAGCTACGGAAAGCAAAGGAGACCATTCAGGCTCTGCGCGCCAACTTGACTCAGGCAGCAGGTGTGGCGTACTTTTAACTTCTTCTCCACCTGAACCCTTTTTGTTACAGCTTTCTCTCTTTTTGTTTCTAAGAGAATTCCTCTAGATCAGTAATGCTCAGGATCCTTTCAAACCCATCTAATGTCTCCTCAATTTCGCAGAGAGCGAAGTGCCCTCTCAGGAGAGAAAAAACTTCAAGTCAAGTCCTGAAATTCAGGTGGGAGATCTCTTAAGTGTTCCAAATGCAAAGATTTGTGAATTTTTCTCTTGTGTTAGAATGAATCGAGAGATTAGACATGCTCCTTTAAACTCCTGGGAGGCCGTCACTTGTAGGCCTTGAATGAATAATTTTACAGCTTCTCTTTCTTCTCTACCTCAGGAGCCTATACGCCCACTGGAGAAAAGAGCCTTAAACTTCCTTGTGAATGAATATTTATTAAAAAATGAATACAAACTCTCATCCATCACCTTCTCTGATGAAAACGATGATCAGGTAAAGCTTTTTCTGGCTCTCTCATATGTAGAGACACAATGACAAATGTCTAAATAGAGTTGACCTTTTTAAGACTTTATGTTTTGCCACTTTTTTAGTGTAAAGTTTCTTTTTTCTCAAGGATGAATAGGAATTAGACCTGAGTTCCCTGACACTGGTTGAACTGTGTTATCACAAGTATATTCAACAGCTTAAATGTTCTGAGCTGACATCGTGTCTTGCATAGATAAAAGCAGAGAAAAACCCTACTTTGAGGATGAGGATTCTATCATTTTTATTATTTTTCTTCTTTGTTCCCAGGACTTTGAGTTGTGGGACGATGTCGGCCTCAACATCCCAAAACCTCCCGACCTGTTGCAGCTCTACAGGAACTGCGGCACCCCCCTTCCTTCTCCTCGGGACACAGTCGACGTGTCAGTAGGGGTGGATTTTGGTGATCTTCCAGGAAACTGCATTGCTCAAGATCCCCCAAAGAAGCCTGACTTGTCACAACAGGTGTGTATAGTAGACGTTAGGGCTGCACGGTTATGGCAGAAACGACGATCACATTTATTCACCATGGTTATTCATTGATTGCGCCCATAATTCTTATCCTACTAGGTCTAGTGAATACATCAAGCTCATCATCCCCAATACCTCTACTACTTTTGACCGTAACTCGTTTCGCTTTGCAGCAGCTAACAACTGGAACATCGTACAAAACACTTTCAAACTTGCAACTCTGACTCCGCTCACCACCCTCAAGCTTAAAATCCAACAGACTGTAGTTGACTGTTGCTCCTGCTGATCATGCCAGATTTTACTTACATACTTGTATATACACACACACTTTCTTACACCTCATGCACATTGTTTTTCACTCACATGCATATGCCCCCATGCTTCTTGTTTAATTTTGTTCTATGTTCTGTTTATGTGTCTATTTGTGTCTGTAATTTATGTGTATTTGTTCCTGCTGGCGCCTCTTGGCCAGGTCATGTTTGCAAATGAGAACTGGTTCTCAAATATTTTTACCTGATAAGATAAAGGTAAAATAAAAAATAAAAATTTTAGGAATAGAATATTTCTATTGTACCTTATCATTGATATAAACAGAGCACTGCCTTCACTTCCATGTTGTGCTACATTGTTGCTACACACGTAAATTCTGTGCATCGTCTTGAGACAAATTCTGTCTATAATTGTATCCAAAATGCCTCACTTGCTGAACTTTCGCCTATTGATAGACACTCCAATTTACCAATGTTCTCTAAACACCTCACATGCTAGCTAAGTGGCTGTGCACAGAGAAGCCTCTAGTTTTCCCACTTTGTTACTGCAGTGCAGCAACTATCATAGGCATGTGGCCAAAACTTACTTTAAAAAGACTGAAATACAGCATTCGATCGTCACATTTTCCAAGTTAAACCCAATTATTTTATCTATACCGGTTGCTTTCTATGAACACAGTTTTGTATTTGCAGTACACACTATTTAAACATCAATACTGACGTTGAGGTCGTACGCCCATTATCTTGTTTATATCAATCAATTCTCTATTACAGAAAATTACAGAAACTGGCTGAAAGCGGTGCATTTACTCAGTCATTAAGAGACATCATCAGTTTCCCCAGGAGGATTGATTGATTTGACTCATTACGTAGCGCAGTGGAAGCGGTCCACAGAACTACAATGATGATAAAAAATCTAATTGCCACCTCTGCATTCACATTGAGTAAAAGACTGTTAAACTAAATGGAGAGTGTTCGCCTCGTTCAATAAAGTCGAAAGTTATGTAGAGTTTTGGCTCATTAGTGCGTCTGCTTTTGAACTGAAGTTCTAACACATCTGTATGATATTTTTGCCCTCTGCAGCAACAGACAGAAGTCGTACAAGAGCTAGAGTACCAGATCAGCCTCCTCAACAATGAGAAGCAGAGCCTAGCAGAGCAGATCAAAAAACTGCAGAGGTAAGTGCAAGTTTGTGCTCAGGCACTGATCTGTATTGATGTAGACACAGTTTCCTTTATTCGTTGCAGTTGTATTTCATTTCAACAAGAACATTTGCCAATGATGCTGGGGGAAAATGAGAAGCATTCATAAAAATTTGAAAAGTTTTCAGTACTCCAGTCCACATTATTACCATAACTTTGACCAAAACTGGACCAGAATGGAAATTTCCCCTGAGCACCACTGCTGCATGAAATTACAGAGGAAAAAAAACTCCTCTGAAACTCCATGTCGAGCCTTTAATTGCCACCACCAGGGTTCCGACCAGTTTGCTTAACCACAATCCAGAACTGCTGAGGCATTTTACAGAACTGTTCTACTAATGCTTTTGGATAGTACTGGTTGAACAGTGGATTGTTTATTGATTTGCTGCTTCACTAATGTGAAATGTGTAGTCTTTCTATAACACACTTTTTCATTTTCTTGGCCTCACAGTGAGATTCAGACACTGAAGAGGACTGTCTCCTCCCCACCTCCGGCCACTCTGGACTTGGGTACCCAGAATACATTAAACCCCTCTTCCACTTCTACCGCCACCGCTTGCTCCACTGACCCTCTCTCTGTGGTATGTGGTCAGGTTGAATATGTCGTGCACAGACTTCTGTAAATGCATGCCAGTGATACACAGTATTAAAAGGGCCTGTGTTTTGCAATTGCAAAATTTTTGCAGAATCCCAGTTATTTGAACCACTAATCCTGACTTAATTTAGTCTAAACCTTCGCCTCCTACGGGATTATTGCAAAATTTTTGCAGACTCCTCGGTATTTGAACTTCTAATCCTAACTTAACTGGGTCTTATCCTTAGCCTCCTACAGATAATGGCCAGTATCTGGATATCAGAGGGGTTTCAGAAGCTGGTAATGACCCCACCTCTACTCAAAACACATCACAGTCCCACCCACCATCCCACAACAAGCTTAAGAGTCAGCCACCCGTCCAGTTTGATCAACCGAACAGGTGAGTGGATATTCAGGAATGTCAGACACTTGCAAAACTGAGAAATATGTAAATATTCAAAAAGATGTATGTGATCTAACAATTCTAAAAATTCTGCTTGTACTTCCTGCATGGGAATATGTAAATACACACTACTAAATAACAGTCCTATTATTAAAAATGTTGTGTTTGTTTGTATATTACTTGATGTTTATGGGTTCTGTATTAGATTTCCTGAGTTTAATGTTGCACAATTAAGGTAGCGTACATAAAATACAATGACATGAACTGTAGTTCCTAAATATGACCACTAGATGGCGATAGTTAACAGTCTATGTAACCACAATGCAGAAAATACAGCAGCTATTAGGTGAGTTACTGCCCTCTTGAGTTTAAAAAAAAAAAAAGGGTCTTGGTACTTGGTTAATTTTCACATAGTGCATAATGGGAAGTGAATTTAGATTTTTTATTTTGACTGAACACGTCTTCCCTCTGTCCCACTCGTGCTGTAGAACGTGGAGTGCGTCAACAGCTGGAATCAATGGATCGAATGAATGAATGCATGAATGAATGATAGTTCCTTTTTTTAAAATTCCAGATTCATGCACAGTTGGAAAAAAAGAGTGGTAAAATGCTGTTGGTCCCTTGGCTGTTGTTGAAAAGGTGTCAGTGCTGCTTTTTTAAAAATATTTTTTTATTCCACTGCCATAAATAGTAGTTACGTGAGTGAGTGGCGGCACTAAGCTCTTTGGCCGGGTAGCACAGTCTACTCCTGAATCATTCAATGGTCATGGCCCTCTCCAGAGTTCTGGTGAACACAGATTAAATGTCTCAGACTATCGTGACTGTTTTCGGTCTCTTGTTGTTTGTGGTGACTCAGGAAATTATCTCCGGCCTTCCTGCAAGCCTTGCTGTCCTTCTGCAGAATGTGTTCCGACAGCCGCCTGGGAGCAGAGGTCAGTGCCACTCTTTTCTTGTGTTTGTATATATAAAAAAGCTTAATTTAGGACAATCACAGTTCATAATGCCCCTCTCATTTCCAGGTGTCTCGTATAGCTGACAGCGAGGAGAGTGTGATGTTAATGCTGGGCCGCTGTCTTCCTCACATCGTCCCCAATGTGCTTCTTGCTAAACGAGAGGTAACCCCAACTCCTGCTGCTCCTCCCTCTTCCTCTTCTTCTCTCCCTCCCTGTATCCCCGTCATTATTGTCATCATCACAGGCTTCTTGTCTTAATGTCTAATAGATACACACACAGCAGCAAGGCTAAGCAGGGTAGAAATTCAGGAAGAGCAGCCTCAAGCATCATTGGGTAAAGGTGCAATGTGTGAAGTTATTTGTCAGTGTGTTTAACGGTGATATCTTTGCGAATGACTGTCAGGATGACATTAAGGTTCGTTCCACAATAAACAATCCCTCCTCAGTGCCAGATATATTCTCCGTAAACCTCGTGAAAAGTGAATTTTGCGTCAGAATTTATCTGAGAGGATAAACAAGTCTCTGCTTTCTGGTGGTGATTCACTCATGTCACCATCTGCTATTGTGAGAAATATTTAGCCCTGTTTGCTTTGAAAGAACACCACCCTTTTCTTGGTTTGTGCAAACTGCGTAGAGGCTGCCAGTCTGTTGGCAATGGTCTAATTGGTGTGATTAGTGGTTTGTTTCAGATAATTTATACGGAACAAAGAATGTCTCTAACCTAATGCTATGAAGCCGCACAGAGCACCTTTATCTTTGTTGCCTTTGAAGATTAAAAAAAGAATATGTGTAGCGTTAGTTTGGAAATTTGCAAGACAAAACAGATTTTCTTTACCTGCAAACCCCCAGCTGACTTGTGTCTATCTATTGATTGGGAATTTCACCTTCTTTTAAGATGGCGTTTGTCTTCACCAGTCATCATCATTCCCCTCCCCCCCCTTTGCTGTTTTTGTCCCCTACTCACATTTGCTGTCCTTTTTGCCTTCACTGGTTTTATTTTTATTCTTCTCTTTTCGTCTCACTCATTCTCTCACTCTCATGCATGCCTCTCTTCTAGAGAATGGTTGCGCACCTTTGCCAGGTGAGTCTTTCACGCACTCATCTGCATGGATCTCACATGACCTGTAGATCAGAATTGTGTAACTAATGCCCAGCTCCTTTAGCTACAACTGCTATCACTTAGGCTCTGACTTGCTCTTATTTTTTCTTTTAACTTTTACTCTTTTTTTCATTGTTTGCAATTGCTCTGTCATTTCTAAAAAGTGCAAATGATCGTTGTCTTATATTGTGCTGTCTCAGGAAAAATATAAAAACTGATTTGTAACTAAAATATAATCTAACATGCAAAATTAGCCTAAGGTAAGCAGTTTTAGCCTTACATGGGTTGTTATGTTTGTCTCTTCAATCCAGTGTATCTTTAGTCTTTACCCTATGCTAACTGGTCCCCTTTATGTTTTATTTGCTGCAGCTCTAATCATTCTAAATGCCTATGTGGCTGAGAAGTGGTTTTAATCAATCCTATACATTTTTGCTACCAATTTTCAAGATTTTTTTCAAACTATACAAATCCAAAGATTTTTTTAAAATCCTTGATATAAATTGTATTTTTTTTTCAAGTAACTTGACAAAATCTAAACCAGCTCGCTTGCTTTAAAAGGTGAAGCCAGCGATTATAATCCAATACATTTTTGTGTGCATTCTGTCTGTGCACTGAAAAAAAAAAAGTCCTATGTTTATGCACAGCTCTGGCTCTGTAAATGGGACACAAACAAAGTGGCTCAGGGCAATCAACACAACACCATTCCAGTGAGCCCCATGCATGTTTGTACACAGGATAGGGAGAGAGGGAGGGAGATTGGGGGGGTAGTGGAAACGAGCAGGATGGTAAACCATGCACCATGCTAACTATCTAAATATGCTAAGTAGCTAAATATCAACAACCGTGTTACCAAATCACAGACTCCACTTTCAACTGTTCGGGAGCGGAGGACTGTACTACGAAGCGAGATCAGTGGGTTAGCGAGGTATGTTGAGCCTAAAGTCAGAGTTTTTAGTGTCACGAAGGTGGCTCTCTTTTTACCTGGCTAGATCTCCATGGTAACTTACGCTGTGGAGCTAACCTGGTCAGGAGCAGGTTTTGTTCAGAGTGTCGGATTTAAATTGGCGAGAAGAAACATCTCACTTTAATCAAATTATTTCCTGACTTTTCTTTATGAGTGGTGCAGATTCTCAGCTAAGGGTATGTGTTGTATCTGCAAATATGCTGCGTTGTGCGTGACTAATATCAATAAATGAAGTCGTATAGTTACAGTATCGCACACTGTACGCATCGTGTTGCCATGGGAACCCGACATGAATTTAACTGGCGATGCAGAAATCACATAAATATGTTTCTATGTTTGGCTCTGACTTGTTGTGAAGGCTGTTTACATTGCTGGTACTGCAGATGACAGAAAAAAAGAGAAGAAAATTAATTATTCTGCTCGTATTTATTACCAGAGAATATTCAATCAATAACATTCATTTTGCTTTGATTTAGCCAAAAATTAAAATAATATCCTTCATTATGGGACTAATGACATATGGGTCGTTATGTCAGATCTAAATGCACTTCAATGAAGTTTAAAGGTGAATCGGTTTAATGTGCAGCTGTCAGAAGCAAGTGCCTGCATTGATTAGTAAAATGGATGTATTGCTTCATAGTATCTACCCCTCAGAGTAGCTGTTCATGATTTGAGTTCTAATTTCTTCTGAGGAGAGAAGGGAATGAGATTTGACCATAGATTAGGCATTAACAAGCAGTTACTCTTTGGAAGCTATAATGCCGACACCTGTACAGGTGTTCCATCAACTCATAACTGCTTGCATGAAATGTGTGTCTGTGTGTGTCCATGTACAATATGCTTGATTTTTTTATTTTTTTTTTTCACACAGTATTGAAACTTGATAAAACACAAAATGGAGTGCCCGAAAGAGGTAAATCTGGTTGGAGTAGCTCTCAGTCGGGCTGCTTTGCATATCGTCAGGGTTATGTATTTTTTTTCAACCACAGACGGTTATGGAGAACTTAATCTCTTTGCAAAATCTGGATAAACAAACTGCAGGGAGAGGTTGGCAAAAAAAAATAACGCAGCATAACATCGAGGCTTTAGGGTTCTTCTTGAGTGGTGTGGACTTTGTACCATGTCCGTTAGAGTCACCGTGCGTGACATTGTACACACACACACACACACACACGTACACACACAGCTGCTCACACGTCCATCTTGCAACTTGAAGCTTTCTAACCACCGCAAACCTGGAGACACACCTTCAGTTTTTTGAATGTGACACCCCCTTCAGAACAAAAGGTGTTTGACCTGAAACGGTAGTATTGTCCATTGAGACGCTGCCTGCCACCTGGCTGTATTATCAGACACTGTAAATCATTAAACATTGTGTTTTTCTTTAATACACAGGACAGCACTGTACTTTGATTTGCATTCTCTGTATGAACTATTTGTGTTTAATTTTTTTTTCCTTCAGTGAATTATTGTTCTTTTGTTGTAGCACTGTTTTCTGAACACCATTGCTGTGTACAGTAAAATGACAGTATAGGCTTTTCAAAGGGTTTCTCTATAATGACAGTAAATAAATGCTGTAATCATTGACTTCCTTTTTTCTACCGGCCAGAATAACTGTGATCTTTAACGAACTCCAGCAAGACAAAGAGCATTGATAGTTTTATCAAGATTGTTGGTATGACGCATGGCAGACAAGTTCTGGTGATGCTTTAATTGAATGCATGAGTCAACAGATGTTGAACAGAGACCATTCAGAGAAGAATAAACAGCAGACTTAGGGCTAAGACATAACAGAAGCCAAAAACTTGGAGTGTAATCAAGTACAGTTGAGGCTAATGGGTCTGTTATTAGTCTTGCAGACATATGGTCATAAAGTATTGGACAAATTAAAATGTTTTACCTTTATGTTGGCCTTTGGTGAAAAGTCAGTGGATCATTAAAGTTATGAGTATTAACCCTGAAGGGGAGATGGATGTGTTTGCAAGTTTACAGGAACCATGGATGTCTGTGCCAAACTTTCTGACTGTCCAACTTGTAGAGATATTTCACAATTATAGGTGAATATTTCAGCCTGGTAGTCGCACTAGAGAAGAAAGTCATTAGGATACATCCACATTTATGTGTTTATCACACTTGTTTTTTTTTTGTTTATATAAAAGGTATGTTAGGGTAGAGTTACATTAAAAATTCTGTACCATGTTGACTGCATGATGGAATATAATCAGTCTGAATGTCAATGCAAAAAGTCCCAGCACTCTATCACTAATAGCTGTGGAGATGTTTGAGTCTGAACCAAAGTGGCGGGCCAACAGGCACACATTGCTGTTTTCATAGCTATGTAACTGGCATGGCTGAAAAGGATAAAAAAGAATGGACACATGGACGAGAAGTCATTGTGTGGCATTGGATGCAGGCTCTCGTGCATGTCGGTCCATGCACTGGAATGTGTAGTAGTGCTACCCTTTAAAAAACAGCAACGGGCCTCCTGTCCCTGGCGTTCTGGCGTCATTCTGTCCACTCTACCTGCCCACAATGTTTACCCAGAACTGGTCAGATGTTTAACCTCCTGAAGGAGTCTTCACATCAGAAAGGCTGGAGTTCACACCGAAATAGAACAGGGTCATTGTGGTTTCTGGCTCTTCAGATGTGTGCTCTTTATGAATTCCTCTATTTGTTTTAAAAGGCCAGTGCTGTTGACTCTCCAGAATGTCTCTTGTGAAGATGTATAGTATTTTTGCAGGCCAGGACAGAAGATTATTAAATGAGATGGTTGAATTTGGCTGATTTTGGTCAATTTGCAGATTTTTGCCATTTTTTTGACGCTTGAACTGACTTTTCCCACATTGAACTCGGCATGTAACCACTTAAAATGACCCTCAGATACTTAAAAGTCATATTTTTACATTTTAATAGACGGCCAACATGGCACTGACTTCACAGGGTTGGTCCAGTTTTGAGTGAGTGACTCATCAAAGCCTATCTTTACCCAAGTCTCTCTGTTGGGTCCATCTGTCCGTCCAGTGTTGGGGTTTTGCTTGTTCTTCCAACACTTGGCAGGAAAGTACGATATCTTCCTGGAAAAAAAAAAAAAAAGAAAGAAAACAGAGTTTGAAAAAAAATATTTTTAACTCTGTATGCACTCTCTAATTTCGGTGTGTGTGGCGGGAATGTAGGGCTGACCGCAATTTGGCCATGGAGGCCCTGTATCAAGGGCAGCTGAGCTCTCTCCCCTCTGGTTGGAAGGCCCATGAACTCTGCCTGAACTCTGGGATAGAGCTCAGTTTTAGCACAAGAAACTACTGCATTCAGTATGTGTGTGTCTGTCTATATACATGGGTGTGTGCATGCAGTATTAAAACTTCCAAAGTATGTGGCTTGAACTTTATGTGTGTAACCCAAAATCCAAATCAGTCAAGGTATAACACCAACAAGGCATTGAAGGTAAGCATGTTCTCTCCAGTGTTGACGGGCTCCTGTTGGTTTTCAAAGGTGACCCCACTGTGTATTTTTCTCCCTGTGTGACTTGCCCATTTTTCTCTCCTCTTTTTTAATAAAAACCTTCTCCTCTTCTCCTGTTCCTGCTACTCCTTAGAGTTACAGGCCTGCTTGACTGCTACCAGCCATCCTTTCCCTTTGTGTTGTGACCATAATTACCCTCTGTTTTGGCAAAGCGAAACTGATGCCAGCTCTTTCCGTCTCTCTCTGTCTTCTTCTCTACTTCAGGAGTTGATTCCTCTCATCCTGTGTACCGCCTGCCTACACCCAGAGCCTAAAGAGAGAGACCAGCTCCTTCACATCCTTTTCAACCTAATCAAGAGACCGGATGATGAGCAGAGGTGTGTGTATAGACAGGACAATGTGCAAATATCTTTTATTATACCAATTGACCCCATACCCAGAAATAATTTAGACCCAAAAACAAGGAGGCAAATTGAGTTTATCCAGCAGTGATTTCTAATATTTATTTACATTTGTGTATGTTTTCTAAGACAAATGATCTTGACGGGCTGTGTTGCGTTTGCGAGACACGTGGGTCCCACGCGGGTGGAGGCTGAGCTACTTCCTCAGTGCTGGGAACAGGTACGGTACAGCGCTGCAGTGGGCCTTTCTTAATGTGCTACCACTGAGTTTCATATATATATATTTTTCCGTTCATAAATTTATAGATACTGCATAATTTAAGAACTGTGTTGTCTTTTTTCCCTTTCTGAATTCCAAGTTGAATTTTAAATCCATGTATTAAGTGTTGAACTGTTGACAGATTTTGGATTATTCCGCATACAGTTTCCAATAAGTCTAAACATTCATACTTGTCATTTGTGATTTCTTTTATATGTGTTTTTTCCAGAGTTTAATGTGACACTATTTCCTCTTTCTGAGCCACAATTTCTTATGTATTTCTGTACAAAGAACAGGAGGATTAATATTAATTATTGCTATTTCTGTTGGTAATTTGTTTCACTTTGTCACTCATATAAAGAGATTTTACAATTCAGAGGTAAAATTCTGCTAAAAAACGCTAATTTCTAATTAAAATATAAACAATTTATACAAAGGAAATCTCAGCTGAGTGTCGATTTTAGTGAGAAGATTCATTCAGTGTTTAATTTTTTCCTCTGATTCCGAAAAGTCCTGTCATTACCTCCATGGTGTCCCTGACTTAAATGTGATAGCAGTTTTGTTTTCATTGCCACCTGTGTCATCGCATGCAACACAATTACGATCAACAAAATCTACTGCCATGGCAACGGCAGCTCCCAGCAGTTTGGAGGCTGAGAATCTGGGTAGAAAGACAAATAGCGGTTTCCACAGGGTCAGCATGTTGACGATTCTTGACTTGTTTCCATTCCATGGCGGCTGCACTCCCGTCTGCTTCTCCCTTCTTTTTAACTTCTGTTCCTCTATTTCTTTCAACATTTCCTTCTCTATATTTGTCCTCTGCAGATTAACCACAAATATCCAGAGAGGAGGTTGTTGGTGGCAGAGTCCTGTGGAGCCTTAGCACCTTACCTGCCTGTAAGAACGTATTGTGCACACAGAATTTAAAAACTATAATCGTCCATGAGTGTACTGTAAATGAACAAAATCCAGATGAATTTTCTGTTTCTCTCTGTCTTGCTTTGTGTCTCTGCAGAAGGAGATTCGTAGCTCCCTGGTGTTGTCCATGTTGCAGCAGATGCTTGCTGAGGACAAGGCTGACATGGTCAGGGAGGCTGTGGTCAAGAGTCTGGGGATTATCATGGGTTACATAGATGACCCTGACAAGTACTCCCAGGTATGTGTATTTGGAGTGGAACATCAGGACTGTTTCTTTAAAACACCCTGTAGTTATCTGTCACTATTGCTGCAGGATTTTGCACCAGCCAAAACACTGGTTCTATCTTGTTCCAGGGTTTTGAGTTGATGCTGCTGTCTCTTGGGGACCCATCAGAGCGGGTGGTCAGTGCAGTCCACCAGGTCTTCATTCCTGCCTTTGCTGCCTGGACCACAGAGCTGGGCACTCTGCACACTTCACTTATCCCTTCTCTATTAGCGCGTATAGAGAAGCTACTTAATGTAAAGGACTTTTCATGCTCTTTAACCTCATTCATTTCAATGACTATGTTGGCGCCATGCATATAGTTACCATCTCGTCCTTTCATACTGCTTGCTACCTCTTTCTGTAGCAGGGAGAACACGGTCTGGATGAACACAAGCTCCACGTTTTCCTGTCAGCCCTTCAGTCTCTCATCCCTCCTCTGTTTGCCGTGGTGCTGCAGAATGCACCTTTCACCAGCAGAGCCAAACTCCACGGAGACATACCTGCAATAGAAGGTTGGATCACTATGCAATGATTTTATTTATTTATTTTTTTAATTCTTTAAGTAGCACATTAACTGAGTTTCTACTGTGGTTCCTGTACCTTTGGTCCTGCAGTGACCCGGTTCCCCAGGCCAGCTTCTCCTCTCCAGGATGTGGCAACTATCATCGGCAGCAGGGAGATGCTAAGTGCTCTACTGCTACTCTATGACCACCAGTTAGAGCATGAAGGAACCACTGGCTGGGACAGTCTGCTCTGGGTGGTCAACCAACTGTAAGAAATACGCACACACATACACACAAAGTGAGGTTTCCATTACTTCAGAGGACATTACTTTGGCTTATATTCATTTTTTCTAGAGACTTAAAATAACTTTAACCATAACCACTACTTCCCTAACCCTAAACCCAACCTTTCCCTTAACTTAAACCAAGTCTTCATACTAAAATTTGATGATTGATGCAATGAGGACTTCCCTAAAGGGAGTCCCTGTCCCCAGAAGGGAGGCAGGTCCTCACAGTGAGAGTGTGTAAACAGATGAAACAAATTTCTGTTCCCATAACATGAATAATACAAACACAAACACACTCTCTCACATACACACAGATACACATACTTAAAGACACATACATATTAACAGTTTACAATTTACTGAAGAAGATAAAGACATGTATGTGCCACGCAGTAATACTGATTTCCATCTGTCTGCTCTTCCTCCAGCCTGCCTCAGCTCATAGAGATTGTGGGTCGCATTAATGTGACATCATCAACCTGCGTACACGAGTTCTCACGCTTTTTCTGGCGGTTCTGTCGCACATTTGGAAAGATTTTCACCAACACTAAGGTAGGGGCTTGTTTAAATGTAGTAAGGATACCACAACGGTTTGGTCTTAATTGGTGCTCTTAACCCTCTGAACCCCATGCAGTTTCTAGCCGTTTTTGCTACAGTCACATTTTCACTCATTGTGGTCTCATTTTTCACTACGATGTAATGGCCCACACCTCTATGGAAGCAGCACCACCACTGCGAAGAGCAAATACAATTCCCAAATGTGTTTTGTGCAGTATAGCATAGTTATAAAGCCACAAATTATAAAAAAGTAAAAATGGGAGCTCTACATACTATATATAATACTTTAATTTTTAATTTCTCTCCATCCATGTCTCCTATCTGTGTAAACACA